ATCTAAAAAGACATGAAAAAACGAAACACGGGATGCACGGCGGCACTATTCTCTTTCCTTGCACACAGGAAGGCTGTACTGTTTCACCTTTTACTCGTGCTAGCGATCTAAAAAAACATGAACGGAGGAAACACGGGATGCATGGCGGCGCCGCTTTCAGTTGTCCTATCTGCTTCAACGGCAGCCGTGACCAGTCATCGCTTGAGTCGCATATGACAACTAGGCACCCGATGTATGGCTACCTTCGAGAACCACTCACCGTCTTCGACGACCCGCTTTACAAGTCTCTGCTTCACGAATTGGAACTGGAGGGCGGAGAGCCTCTATCGTGGCCAGATCAGCTCCACTGTCCAAGATGCAACACAGCACAGGATGATTGGAGCACTCTTCATAACCATATTCTCAAAGCTTGCACCATAGAATCGTTCCCATGCCCTTGGGCTCATCATGGCTGCCTGACCGAGCTTACGCGCGCTTCAGATAAATCTCAAGCTCATTTAGCTACTCATCTTGCCGATAACCGGGGCTTTCCTTGCTTGTATGGCTGTTCAGGTCACTTCGGCGACGTCTACTCACTATATTGTCATGAGATTGCCGCGGATATCCTTCAGGACAGCCTTTGTCACCCTGATAGGAGGCGCAATCAACCTTGTATAGGGGATTTAACCTTCAAACGTTATATCAGACGACAGCTAGACCAGCCCGGGCAAGGGCCACCTGGAATCTACGTTGTCATGCGAAATAGCCGCGATCCACCTGGTACATGGACTAGCGACGGGAAGGACTGGCGAGAAAGTGCCGTTTCTTTTGTGAAGGCGATGCTCGCTGATTATCGGAAAGCTTTCGGGGATGACCGACCTGCAGTCCTGCATTATGCTAGGAACTCACGTACGTAGAGCCCCTTCCAAGCGGTTCATAACCTAACAATGGACCAGCTACGGCACTAGTCCCTTCCTCACCTCAAGGAGAGGCACTCGGAAGCCCAATGGATAATCTGACCGCCTGGACTTACGCAGTTCAGAACGATCTCAAGGCAGCTACGAATCCAGTAATACTTGCCGTGGGAGTCGACGGGTTCTCATGTTGTGTTTCACGAATGATTCCATTCCTTCGGGCTAATCCTAGCTTCTTGTTTGTCATCAGAGAGTGGAAACCAACCAAGGGAGGCGCCAAACATGACTGCCCAGATATCGTAGCGCATGGGACTGGGGTGGTCGACGTTAAGGGTCTGTCCAGTGTGTTCATTCAGTACAGATCTGAGGAAATTTTGGCACATCTTGAAAGACACGAGCACTTTCCACACATTGCATTGCTGGAGCACCATTGGACTGGCAAACAAGAAGCGAAAGACGCTGTGGGGAGATTTCTTAGGCCCAGGAACCGGGTCTAGAGTAAACATGGTTACCTCGTAACAGGTCTGTATATACTTTCTTTTCTCGCCCTGCCATAAGCGCGTTGTCACACTGTCGAAGTTGAACAAAAGAAAAATTGTCATTTTGAGTGCCATTTCCAGAGGGCGCTTTTCCCCGCGACACCACCAGAACCTAGCAGCGCCTGGGGAAGAAGCCACCATGCCTTTGCCTACCTACGCCCACTCGCCACTGCCATGTGTGCCCTCTGCATGCTATCCGAATGAGACCTGGTTTTACCAATCGCCCTGACCACCGGGCTACTTCCGATGGCATTGTCAAGGTATGTTGGCACTTTGAGTATGCATCCCCAAGTGGTGATCTCGACTGACGATTGTATAGGGCTATGGCCAGGTCTTCGTGGTCCTTTGTTTCTTAGCCTTTTACCCCGTTGGACCCCAGGTGTCAGCTCTTTGCAACCGGAGCTTCCAAGAGAGCCAGTCATCCTTTGCGGAGCGGAACATGGTGGAAGAAGACTTCTTCCGCAAGTCCAACTTTAGGGTACTCGACTAGGGCAATGTGGGCATCGATGCGTTAAGGGCGCGCTTGAGTCTTCTTTTCTTCGAGCATGCTGCTGGAGAGAGGACCAAGGATGTGTTGTTGATCTCAACCACAACGGCCTGTATTGTCAACGCGCTGCTTTGCTATGCCTATAATAGCAAATGCGACATCATTGCGGAGAATGGTGCGCCCAGTCGGAAGGCACTTCACTATACGCAGGTTGGTAGGCTCTATCTCCGAGTATAGCCACTTCTCTGGTACGCCTAACATATGCAGATAAATGCCATCGGAGCTATTTGCAAGATCACTAGCCTGCAGGGCCTAGCGAAACGCTACTTTAGGCTTCTCGTCGACTCGCACTGGCATAAGGATTAGTTGATCGAATATTATTCGCCTAACCTACGAAACCACACTCTCCACAACCGAAGCCTCCGCGACATTGTCGTCCGTATTGTTGTCGAGCATCACAGGATCTTTGCCGAACAGGAGGATGATGCACCTATCCCCACTGTGATGGAAGAGCTTGGAGCTTTCTCTCGGGACTGCTTCCCGCCAGCGCCGCCTCGCTGCTGCTGCGACGCCGACCTGCCATGTCTATCGTACACTCCGGGACGACGAAATCGGCCTCTGCACCTCCTTGTGGTGTCGTCTGGAAACCTACTCCGTAGGGCCAACGCAGAGACGTAGCCTCGACCTCGTCAAGCTCAAGAAAAGTACTTCCGGACCGCCCTCACCCATACGCCAATCGATCGAGCGTATCCAACAACGACGTAACAGCATGCGAGCGAGCAAAGCATAACCAATTTCCGACTTCAACACGACTAAATTTGCACCGCATCACTCGATTGATTGATCTACAATACTTTCTAATACGACAAGCCAACAAGGCCGCCTTGAAAACGCCTGATACTGCCTTAGGATAGCCCGGCAGAGCGAGTCTTGAATTCTTGGGCACAAGGAGAAGGGCTGGACTAGGCTTGTACAAGATTCACCATCTTACAAGAGCCACGAATACGACAACGATACTCTGCTAGCAGGCTAGAGAGGAATCACAAGTACTGCACTATTACGACAACACGAATACACACAGGCACGGTGAGCCAATGTAAGACTTCTGGAATTCTGGACTAGTGTTGACACGATGGGCCACTTAGGCAGCTCTCCCTTGCTAAGAGATGGGGCCTGGGTGCAGAACCGAAATTCCTTTAAAGGAGGACCGGCTTGTTCTGGATATCGGCGCCAGAACTCGGTACTTGACTACTAGAAAGAGCAAGTTCCCTAGTAACGCTGTATATAGGAGATTCTAGTATTTTGGCAGATGTAGCAGATTTATGCGTACTAGCCGATCCTGTATTAGTGTGGACGCCGCTGGGCGGCGTTTATACTAGCTAGCCGAATGATAAAAGAAATTCCTACCGATCGTACACTCCGGCCGTTGTGGCCTTCTCGTTCGGTGGGGTAGATTGTGTATTGTGTTAGCTACCTATGGAATAGAATCTATGGTTTAACCATGGGCCTTTTCGGCAGGCCTAGCTGACTAAGCTAGGCCCTGCCTAAAATGCCCACACCGTCTAGTCTATTCTGGGCAGCCTAGCGTCGCCAGCAGAATTGCACACCTCCCAGGGCGCTGCAGCTCTCGCTCTCCCAACTCACCCCACACCTCCCTCCGCATCACCAACTCCATCGTTGCTGGCGTCGGGTCTCTCCTGCTTCTGCGGACTTCCTTTTCTCTTTCCTTTCCTCTCTCCTTGTGCCTGCTTTCGTCTCCGGTCCGAGTGCGCCTGCCGCTCACGGCTCCTCCGCTTCTCTTCGACGACCCGCTATACTTTTCAACCTCCCGTCATATAGCTGTCCACCTTTTACTACGCGCACACATATTTGTTCATCGTTTTCCTTCCCGCCGACTATTTCTCGAGTCCGGGTCGCCCAGCAAGACCGCCTGTGCCAGCATTTCCTACCACGCCAGGCCCAGAGCACGGCCGCCTGCAGCGCCCCTCGTCGCTACAACCTCGTCCACGGCCACTCGACAACCACCTAATACCCAACCACCACTGACGCCTTCGCCATGACCGACTCTACCTCGCAGGCCTCGTCCCTCCCGCCGCCGCCCGCCTCGGCTGGCGCCCCAGGCTACGACAATGGCCAGAACAATGGGCAAACGGGCCAGCACATGCCTCCCCCCCCGCTGGCCATCCCGCAGAACACTAATCCGATCCCTACTGCGATTAGTTCTCCTCTGTCCGGCGGTGTCATGTCGCCAACCAGCGGCGGTCCCGGCTACGTGCGTCGTGCGGCTCCCGAACCCAACAAGCGCGCTTTATACGTGGGCGGACTGGACCCTCGCGTCACCGAGGAGGTCTTGCGACAAATTTTCGAGACCACTGGGCACGTTCAGAATGTGAAGATCATCCCTGACAAAAATGTATGTGTCCCCTGTTGGTTTTTGATGCGCCGAATCCTGCGCGCAGCCTTGCGCCACATTTTTCTCGTCCCTTCCATTTCTATCATCACAATGACACGTTACTGCGAACTCCCATCGCACTGACAGCGCTTACAGTTTCAATCAAAGGGGTTCAACTACGGGTTTGTCGAGTACGACGATCCAGCTGCGGCCGAACGCGCGATGCAGACTCTCAACGGTCGCCGTGTCCACAACACGGTATGTCATTTCCCAATGCGCATCAGGCCTTCAACTAAGTAGAGCAGGAAATCCGCGTCAACTGGGCCTACCAGTCCAATAACACGACCAAGGAGGACACCTCGAACCACTTCCACATATTTGTTGGGGACCTCTCCAACGAGGTCAACGATGAGGTCCTGCTTCAAGCCTTCTCCACTTTTGGCCCCGTCTCCGAGGCTCGTGTTATGTGGGACATGAAGACTGGAAGATCCCGTGGCTATGGTTTCGTCGCCTTCCGCGATCGCGCCGATGCTGAAAGGGCTTTGAGCTCCATGGACGGCGAATGGCTTGGATCGCGCGCCATCCGCTGCAACTGGGCTAACCAGAAGGGCCAGCCCTCCATCTCTCAGCAACAGGCTATGGCCTCCATGGGCATGACCCCGACCACTCCGTACGGACATCATCACTTCCCGACCCATGGCGTCCAGAGCTATGACATGATCGTCCAACAGACTCCCCAGTGGCAGACGACTTGCTATGTCGGCAACTTGACTCCGTACACGTCTCAAACCGATTTGGTGCCCCTCTTCCAGAACTTTGGATACGTCGTGGAGACTCGATTCCAGTCTGACCGTGGGTTTGCTTTCATCAAGATGGACTCGCACGAGAACGCCGCCATGGCCATCTGTCAGCTCAGCGGGTACAACGTCAACGGACGTCCTCTCAAGTGCAGCGTACGTTTGATGACTGCCTCGATTTTTCTTCGCAATTGCTTACAATGGAACAGTGGGGCAAGGACCGTCCTCCGACTGGCCAATTCGAGGGATACTCTCCAGCCCAGGGTGCGCCCAACTCTGCCTTCCCGCAAACGCCCAGCACGTATTTCCCGCAATACAATGGACCTGGCCCAATGTCTCCTCAAGGTATGCAGCGACAACATGCTGCAGTATTAGCGCTTACTGACGTTTTCATAGGCCCGAGCCCTGGTGGTCAGCCTTACAACCAGAACCAAGCCGGCTTTGGTGGCCCTGGCATGGCCCAACCTTATCAGCAAATGCCGGGCAGTGCTGGAGGGTATGGCCGTGGCGGTCAGCCAGCTCAGCAATGGGGCCAGCCCAACCCAGGGAACTTCGGACAAGTCAACAACGGCTTCGGCGGATACCAGGGCTAGGCACACCGCTTTCGCTTCGACTCATTAGCTGCATCCAGAGTATCTATCTTCTCCATGTGCTTGGCTGTTTACGTGGGTACCCTTGGATACTATTTATCCAGTACCGGTTAGGTGTTTCTCCCGATTAAACTGTCTGTCCCTGGGGCGCGGTCTTTCCTGTTGACTGCCTATGCCTGTCTTGCTTGCTTTTATGTCTCCAAAATGTTTTTCGGGTCGGGTTGTTTTATTCAAGGTGTGGGGGAAGAAGCCTCGTGGGTGTTCGCTGGGGATACTTACTTCAAACTCGGAAATCCTTTCTCACTGTGGCGGTTTCTGTATTTCCTCTCTCATACTGTAGGCCGGCACCTCTCTCTCCAGAGCTTGTCCTTTAAGTTGTGTCGTGGAATCCTGTGTCTCCTGTGTTGTGGCCTTCACATTCGCGTGGGGTCGTTTTAATGAATCTCCTTGTGCTAAATCTGGGCATCTTTCACCGATGGGGATGAATTCATTTCGTCCTCGTTGCTCCTTTGTCCTCCTCACTCCTCATCCTCTTACTACAAAAATGTTTCCCAAACTTCGGCGCATCGTGTGGCATACCCCATTTTCCCTTTCCAATTCACTCTTCCCATTTTCACCTACCATTTTGATTTCACATATGCATCTAAACCATGTTGTTCTCCCAGTCGTTTTCTGATACTGTTTTCCCTCTCTCACTTCCTTACGCTACAAAGGCATCTAAGGCCCGCCTGCGGAAAGGTCTTTTTGGGTTCAGACTGGGATATCTTGCATGGTAGTATCTGGTATCTAGAGGGCTGTGATTTGTGGGCCGTGTACTTAGCACGGCTTTTGGCAAAGGACTTTATCTATTTGGGTATCAGAGCATATTGGAATGGATGGTGGTGATGGGACACTGGCTACCACATCTGATTTGGGTAATGATGTGTTTTTGAGAGTTTAATCATTATGTGTGACTATGGTACACAACCTCTCCGGACTTCGACGTTGCAGAGATGCTGTCTTCATTACCAAGATGCTCTTATACTGCCTTCTTGCGTTCGGTTTGGCGTCATCCTATATCGAAGTCCACTCAAACCTCCAGCATCACTCCGATCTCTTGACTGTCTGTGCTGAAGGGACCTTTTTCCGTCGCTCATTCCACGAGCCACCTCCCCGCCGCCGTCCACTGCCCCGCCGCCATACCAAACAACCCCCAGACCGCGCCTAGCAAGCAACGCAACCCTGCCCTCGTCACAGCAAAGACTTCCCCGCTGCCCACCCCCTTATGCCAGAACACGATCGCTCTAACCAACCCCGCGTACCCTTGGCAGAAGAGCAGGACGAGATCCGCGGCAAAAGAAACGCTTCGGCTCAACACATATCCACAGCCGCAAGACCTGCTGCGGTCTTTTGTGCTCCGCACCAACGTCAGCACCGATAGCGCGGCCTCCGAGTCCGCAATCCAGGGCTGGGAGCTTCAAGAACTCGTCGAGGTCGCGCGGGCCGTGTCGCGGTCGTCGATGAGGAAGGGTGAGGAGCAGGAATTACACCTTCAGCTGTACTGGAACCAAGCAAACGACAAGGGAAATGGGAGGGCGGAAGCCATGTTCACGTAACGCGAGGAGGAATGTGAGGAGTAGGCAGGCCCACAGGAAGGCGGGCATTAGGGAGGTGTAGTGGGACGGATTGGGGGGGGGGGGGGTGGTTCGGTCTGGGTTGATGGGGGGACCATGGTGTTGTGGTCGACGAGATGTGGCTGGAGAGGGGGTCGTCTTTAGAGTTGAATGAGGCAGAATATTTCGTCGGAGAATGAGCTGGCGTTTTGATGCGTTTGTTGCACCGGACCGGCTGTTGCCGCAGAAGAAGATTGAGCTGCTACCAGCCTCGGGGTTGACGACATTGGTTTCGTATGTATATGGTGAAGGATGCGCGAAGGCCGACCGTCACCCACTTCAACGTTGAAGCCAGTAGTTAAGTTACCGTTGTTCATGCTCACGTAATAATCCCTACAGTCACGTGATGCTCGAGATAGTCTATCCATAACTCGGTGAAAAATGGGCTTGAATAGCGGTCACAAAAGTCTGTCTATTCTTCAGTAATAGTAGTACTGGTTGTCGGTATTCAGCAACTAAGAAGTCCAATATGCCGAGTGCACTCAAGTAGCGAAGACTTGCGAGGACAGCGGCCTAGCAACATATTGACATGGAATATCTTTTCATTCCTAGTAAGACCTAAGCTACAGGCACACCCCGTCAGCAACACGTCCCATCCCTACATGCTTCCGCCCTCCCAGCAACCCATCGACTCCGCATCTGCAGCTCACTCCCCCCATCCCTCATCACGCTATCCACGCCATCACCCGCGCCCTCCTCCCCTGTCCACACCCGCCCAATCGCGCGATCAAAGCTGATCAGCACAATCGGCCCGCCCGTATCATCGTCGTCGTATGACCTTGCAGGGCGTAGCATGTAGACCAGACTGCGCTCATCCACCACCCCCACGAGCGTCTTGCCATACGCCGACCCCGCAGGCAACGGCGGGTTGAGAATCCCATGCAGCCGCGCAGCACACGGGCAGGCGTTCGCAGGCGGGGGCCACATCGTTATCGGAGCGTAGCGATAGCGGGCATCGAGGGCGGATTTCGGGGGTGGGAGCGGGACCTCGTATTGCAGCGGCTCCTTGCCCTTGCCCTTGCCCTTGCCCGAGCCAGCGGGCGGCTGCTCGTCATTGTCGTCGGGGATCGCAGGTGCGAGACGCCGCGAGCCGATCCGCAGGCGGAGACAGGGTGCTGGGCTGCTGGGGTTGCTGCAGCACTTATCGTCTTCGACGAAGTCGACGAAGGCGCTGCAGGAGAGGTTGTAGGCGCGAAGCTTGGTGCGGGCGAGGATGAAGGCCCGCGCGGGGTCGTTGAGATGGGGCCCGTATTCGGGGTGCGTGAAGTCCTCGTAGCGAGGCTGGGAGGGGGCCCAGTGTGCGTTGTTATCGCTGGCGAGCAAGGCTACGAAGGGGTCGTCGGGTGGGAGGGCTGGGCCGGCGGATGGTCCGACAGCGGGCGATGAGGTCTGCGAACATGGCGTTGAGGATGAGTTTGATGGGAACGCTATTTCTTGCGTGTAGAAGGTGCGGGTTTGTTGGCTTCCGCCATTTTTCCATTCTCGACGAGACTCAACAATTATCAGTGCGTTGGTGGATTCGTCAGCCTGCAGACTCATGTCAGTCCAAGAATCGTTGATAGGGCCTTCTGCATGCTGCCGTCGATATATGCGGTTGTTGGTTTTCAGGGCGTTGCTGAACGGTCGTTCGAGGGGAAAGCGGACACAGTGATAGAAGGACGTCCAATCAACTTCCTCCACGTCGAAGGATGTCTGGTTCGAGAGGGCGTAAAAATAACCATCGTGGATTTCGAACGCTACCGTGAAGCCCATGTCTGACCCCACGAAGTCTTCCAGCTGCAGTGGCGGGGTGCCTGCTGGGATGACGTGCTCCGCATCTAGAGAAACTCCATGGATCCTCCACTCGCGATGGCCATGTGTTCCAACACCCGAGTGTGTGCCGTAATACAGGAATGAGGCGGTATTACGGGCAAACAGCTTGCTGCTTGATTCGAGCTCGATCTTAGCCACAAGTCTCTCAGCGTCTGGTGTACCGACCTTGGTGCTGACAGCTATCAGCCAGCTGTCAACAGGCTTCGCCTTCCGCTCGTAGTGCAAGGCCAAGATTTCATCACAGTAAGAGAGCAGAGAAATTTTAGCCTCAGCAAGCCCAGTAGAGACTACACTGCTGATGATGGGAGATAGTTCAATTGTCCTTGGGGCACTTGACGAGGCGTGGATGTCCAGAACTCGGATAGAACTTCCAGAAATAGAGCAGAGAATGCCTTGCTTATAAAGAAAGGCAGAACCATGGCCTATGATGGAGGCCGAAAACGGAGATGCTTTTGCAAAGGCTTCGCGCCGTTCATAGGTGCGCTGGACAGCTTCTCGGTATGTTATTTTCTTCTCTTGAGCAAGTTTTGCTTCTTTGCTGTGGGGGACATGGGTCTGGAGGGAGTGGAGGTAAGCTTATGGCGCAACATCCCAGCATGGTGCGGGATGAGATTACTTACCTCGATAGTTCGCCAACATAGCGTGCCCTCGTTCAGTAGTAGCCTTAATTGGCGACATGTCAAACTTAAGCTTACAATATCATCAAAGGTGAGAGATGAAGTTATACAAAATAAAACATCAAAGGGCAACCTGTCTAAGGAACGAGGCATGAACTTTAACCAGACAGCTGGCGAAGGAGTGAAGGAGACGAGGGCGATTTAAAAGAGGGTGAGATGGGGAGACTTTGCCGATATGAGAAAGCATGTAGCAAGGCGGTGAGAACACGTGCGTTGCCACTATGCAGCTCGCGAAGAGGAGACGAAGGAAGAGCAGAGACAAAGGGGACATCAGAGGGCAATGTGGCACAAATTGGGATGCTTGACCGGAATTTGAGCCTGGTCCACTTTGAGCCTTGTGCAGGTCTGGGGAGGGCCTCCACAGGGACCTTTTGACTTGTCCCCTTCGCAGAGCCTCACGGTCCTACTTCCACGGTGAAACCTTATCGGATTTGTGAGTAACATGAGACGAGGAAGAGCATCCTAATGCGGCGACGAAGGAACGGCGCAGCAAAGACCAGGTGAGCAGCCGGGCAACAAGGCCAACGCGGATGCATGGGGCGCGGGGGGCAAGAGCCGCACGCAAAAGAGCCCTCATGACTGAGAGACGGCACACGATGGATAGCAGTCAGGCGGCTTGGGGCGTTGCACGCAGGTTAGTGGCAGCGCGGGAAAAGTGATGTCCTGGATTTGCAGGTGGGAATGTCTGGGGCCTCCGACTGAGGCTCAAGTGACGCCAATGAAGGGACCGAGCGCGCTGTGCCGGGCGGAGCTCGCGGGCTGCGGAGCTACGAGGCTGACCAATGGTAAGCAATCGTGACAAACGATGCGGCTCTGCGCCCTCATGGAGAGCGCCTGAGTGCCCATTTTCTCAGCCTCGCCGGGGTTGCAATCACGGTGCGGCGGATGGGGGTGAATCGAAGGCCGCAGCCTGATGCAAACACTCCCAGCACATGTCGCACCACATTTAGCGGCATGCGCCTATCGTGGGCCAATGCAGCGATCTCCTCGTTGCGTTGCACGAAAACCGGCCACGCTTGCTTGATAGGCCGACTCTACTGTACCTGTGTCCCCACGCTCTTGCTTCTTTACGCCCCGCTTTGCGGCTCTTTTCTACCCTTCATGCAGTCCTCTGCGCCCATGTGCGCCCTGCAGCTCCGCCAGCGGGCAACTCGCCGTCCGCCTCACTTTCCACTTTTCCTCTCTTCGGGTTTCTACCGATTGCTCGTACCCGACGTGCCTTCTTGAAGGTGCTGTTCCATGCAGCTTGCTTGTACAAGACGCCCAGATCCCAATTGCCTGGGTACCAAGGGATGAGACGTCCAGGGTGATCTGAGAATAGCGTGACATGGACCTGTCCAAGGACCGTTTGTCGCAGCACCATGCCAACAGATCACGGTTTTCAGCGATGACGTGTACGCCGGGTCCCGATGCAGTGGGCATGTGCATGTCCGATAGCGGTCCGGGTTGCCTTGTCTGGTACTTGGAATGCTCCGAGGTATCGCGAGGAAGGAAGGTATCGTGCGGGTATTCGCTATATTTCCGAGGCACTCCTGTTGCGTGGCTCTCCTTCCCAGCCGATCAAAGGCCAACCAAATGGAAGACTCGAATACGGGGGGAGAATGTAACGTCCAGCGCAGGACGACGTCTCGCAATCCAGATCACATGCCCCAAAGACTTTGCAGTAGCACTCCTTAGGGGAGGGGCAGTGCACGGCCTCTTTGCCAAACACCACTGTGCCGAGTTAGCAGCTGACCTAGAGTGATTGGACATTGTAGAGAAGGACAGAGTCCAGACTCACTGTGCCACGAGTATTCGAATATTCGTCCGCTAATTGAATCCGCAAGCGGCGTCTCCAGAAGCCACTCACGATAGCGTTCGTAGTCGCTCTTGGGCCTTTCCCGTATCTTTTCTTTTGTAACCGCAAATTGTGCGCAACAGGACACGCCTACAATTTTTGGGACTTCCTTCTCCGGAAACAAAACCTCGAATGCTTGCTTGTAGTCCCCGCCAGCATGCACCGCAGCTCGATGCTCCCCCTCTTGACCTAGAGGTTTGATCTCCTCTGGACATCCTAACGACCAAGCGCACCGAATGTTCACGTAGCCTTCCTGCTCGAGGTATGGTATCTGGAAGTGTCGTAGCATGGGCAGGCCATCGTAGTCAGGGTCATCATTATGCCATTGGTATCGGTTCGGATGGATGAAGAGGATGTTATCAGGAAGATCATCGTAGTTTTCAATAATGAAGCTAGGCTCCAGTCAGCGAATGTATAGGGGTGACAACGATTTGACCTACGTCAGATATACCATAGATTCCCGGCCCTTGTTTTTCGGCACAGTCAATGGAGCAGCAGGGTCGTCCACTGCGTATATGTTCTTCTCCCATTCAGGAAAGTAGCTAGAGAGCCAGGTAGAGTTCTCCGATTTCTGGCTGGCTACGACCACGGCCGTTCGTCGAGCTACCGGCTGGGGTCCTACAGCTGCCTCCTTGCCACCTGCGATGTCATCGAGTCCCAAATCTGCGTCATTAAACGCGTCGCCCGGCCCCAGAGCGTCCCAGAGCTCTTCCTTGAGGTGTATGAGGAGGGCCAAAAGGAGCCATACGACAAGTAAAGTCACTGCGAATCTAGGAGTGCACCGTCTCCGGAACGACATCCTGTCACATAACGAGTGTGGTGAAGAAAAGATAGAGAGAAGGTGGAACAGAAGGTAAGTTCTGAGTATGCATTGGGTGGGTGCCTGCTAATTTAATAAGCCAGATACGCCGTTCCAGACATGGATGAAGTGCGCGGCTGGCTCTATTCGCTCACCGTAGAATTAATCTCGACCAATCATATCATAGCATATTCTGCTTCTTTCAATTGGAAGACAGTGCTGACCAAGATGTAGAGCTTTCTAAAGCGTGGATTAGACCATCCATCAACATTACTGTCCATAACTCCCTCTCCACTGTAGAGGTGTACTCGTGCATCATGAATACCCATGCGAGATTTCAAGTTTCAAAGCCCCTAGCTCAGACGGATCGTGAATATAAATACACACTTAGTTACAAGACGCCGTCAAAATTGCTTCACTGGGTCATGACAAATTCGGAGGTGATAGAAAATTCATCATGTTGCCAGCTAGGTCGATATAAAATCTAATTTCCACCTTGCTCTAGATTCACTACTGTCGGAAGTGCGTCAACGCTTTGTATATTTTCGGGCGGTCATGTAATGGACGTCATACTGCAATTTAGACCAATTTCCAAACCCTTTATGCCTCTCAAAGAAGGTCCTCAACACGTCCCTGAATTTTATAAAACATGAACTTAAATCAAAAGATGCAAACCCCTGAAGGACGAATGCAGTGATAGATACTACGTTAGGGGCAGTCTGAGCGCTGTGGAGCGGCCGTAAAGAACCTAAAGAGATATATTTCTTGCAGTCATAGCAGAGCCAACGAGAGGGTCTACTTGAAAGAGGTGGAAGAAATCGACCTTTCCTTTTCTGGAGGTGTTGGGAGTGGGTTCTAGGGCGTGGAAGAGAGCAGCGCCGATAATTGAGAAAACGAGGTGGGAAGTAAGGATGGAAGATGCTTGGGATGAGGGAGTTAGAAACATGGCGATGTGTTGGGATAGCTCTATGGGAAATAGAAAGCGCTTTGCCGTTGGTCTAGAATTATCGGTGACTGTTTTAGAATCGGATAAGCAGCTTGATAGCCGTTTTGTCAGCGCTGGTCTTTGGATGAATCATAGCCAAGGCGAAACTTTACTCGGGCCGCTACACGGTTATGAACCTGATCTCATTCAAGAAAGATGATTTGAATATTTGCGTGTTTTAGGTGCAGCACAGTGAAAGGGGTTTAGTGGCTTGCGACTGATCTCGACATGCTTCATCGGACAGCTAGGTTATTGTTAATATGAAGCAGCTATTTAAGCCATATGGCATCCTTGTTGAGATCTTTTGAGCTCCTCTCGAGAAAGACTCAACCTTACGCAAGTAGGTCCGAATCCGAACGATTGAAAGCGGAAAATTGAACTCGCGTAATCGGTTCCCTATTCGTGGAGTCGCAGAATCCTTACGGCATTCCCACCCAATACATCCTTCGCCGCCTTATCGTCTTGAGCGAAAGCCGTTTTGATAGCTGAGTAATTGGTACTGACACTCTCCCACTGTGTTGCCTCTTCTTCAAGAGGTGGAAAGAATGGATGATCCGTTCCTTGAGAATGTCAATACTTTGAACCCAAGAAAAGTAGGCACAAATTCGATTAACGAACTTACCGAAAAGGAGACGATCAGCACCAGACGCTTCGACAGCAGCCTTCAACCCGACTTCAGAGTAAATGACAGCATCCAGGTAGATATTCTTCTTGAAGATGTCCCAGATAGGCCTTCTTCCTTCCAACTTGCCCTCCTTCTTCATATGTGCATCATGGCTGATACAGCTCTCTATCCGTCCGGCCAAAAAAGGCAGTGTACCACCAGAGTGGGCAATGAGCACATTCAAGTTCTGAAATCGGTCCCATACCCCACTTAACAACATTCTCGTCACCGCAATAGTTGTTTCTAAAGGAAAACCCATTGCCAATGGTAACACATGGCCATACTCGTTGGTACGAGGTCCATACACCGATTGTGGGAGTCCATAATGTGGGTGTAAAAAGATGAGTGAACTATGCTTTTCCAGAGCGGCGTAAATGGGGTCAAGTTTGAGATCGTCCAGTCCCTGGCCCAGTCCTGACGTTCCCATTATGATTCCTCGCATGTACTTCATCTTTGATAACCTTTCAATCTCCTTCACGATTACGTCTATTGGCGCGGAAAGAGGTAAGGTTCCGAACGCGAATAACCGACCCGGGTATTTCGAGCACTGATCGTTCACGTCATCGTTGATTTTCTGCGCTGCATCTCCCGCCTCATCTGATGGTAGAAAGTCTAGCCAAGGGTTGGCTAGCGATATAACCGACACGTCGATCTTGTGAGTGTCCATGAAAGCAATCTTATGCGCGATGTCCCAGTACTCAGGACCTACTGGCCGGCCTCGAGCCGTTGATGGGGTATTGGGATCATCCTCGCCTGGCAAGATGACCATTCGAGCAACATCTCCTGTCTCTGGAAAGGTGCGGATGTAAGGAACGGAGGAGCGACTGCGGAGGAGCTCTACAAAAGTGGGAGGGTACACATGAGTGTGCACGTCGACGACGACCATGATGGCCGGAGATATGGTGGTTTCGAGAGCAACCTAAAGAGTGAATGGCTGTCCCCCAAAGAAAATTAAGGTGTTCTCTAGACACAATAGCTGGATGTTTTGTGAGTAAAGGCCCTGGATTACTGACGCAGTTTACGAGAGTCCAATTGCCCCACCTTTCACTCGCTTATCTTCTTTATCGTTCAACTTCCTCTTGGGGACACACTGCCCCGCCTTGCCTAGAGAATTCAAGGGTTCACGGTCGAGACACTGCGGAGGTCGGCGCCCTACGAAATGTTAATGCCTCATCTGAACATCACACGACTGCTGGCGCTCGTTGGTCTGAGCTAAAAGGTCTCTATCTCAATTCACAGCACTACCCCGCCACCCCGCAACGCTCTCCGCATAGACAATGGCTCCAGCAACGGTAGACAGCGCGGTCGAGAAAGACAACCTTTTCATTCCTGTAAGTGACCGAAATACCTACATTCTGTGTGTTACTTCTTTGCAGGTGCTGATCATTGGCCCCACATAGCTCATTGACTTCTCCCTATTCCTCAATGGCACTCCCGCGGAAAAGAAGGCAACTGCGGACGCTCTTTTGAAGGGCTTCCAGCAGGCTGGTTTCATTTACCTCAAAAACCACGGCATACCCCTCACAGAAGTCTCTAACGTCTTCTCTTCCTCGGCCGAATTCTTTAAGCGCCCCCAGGCGCAAAAGGACGAGCTTGAGTGGTATAGCGCGAAAGCCAATCGCGGTTACACTGCCCATGGCCGCGAGAAAGTCACACAACTGGCGGACAAAGGAGATGTCGAGGCCCTACGCGCGGCCGTTCCAGACCTAAAAGAGAGTCTGGAGATTGGTAGGGAAGGCGAAGAGGGGTGCCCCAACATGTGGCCGGATAAGTTTGACGAGGAGGGAAAGGCATTTAAGAAAGTGATGCTGCAGTTCCATGGGCTATGCAAGGGCTTGCACGTCGAGGTTATGAGGGCAATAGCTCTCGGATTGGGCATCGATGCGGCATGGTTTGACAGCTTTACGGATCAGGGAGACAACACCTTGCGGTTGCTGCATTATCCAGCAGTGAAGAGGGATGTCTTCAAGAGAGATGACGGCCTACAACAGGTTAGAGCAGGCGAACACACAGATTATGGTGAGTATTCTGGGAATGGAAGGCTTGAAAGGAGTGTCGCTGACTTGATAGGTTCCTTGACGCTACTCTTCCAGGACGATCGAGGAGGTCTCCAGGTCCTCTCGCCCGACAAGACTTTTGTGGATGCAACCCCTATCCCAGGCACGATTGTCGTCAACGCTGGAGACTTGCTCGCAAGATGGTCGAATGACAGTATCAAGAGCACCAAGCATCGAGTAGTAGAGCCTCCCCTGAAGAAGGGCCAAGAAATTGGAGATACTTACCCACCACGTTACTCGGTGGCGTACTTCTGCAATCCCAACTTCGACAAATTCATTGACGCGATCCCGGGAACGTATGAGTCCGTAAGCAAGAAGTACGAGGGAGTGAACAGCGGAGAATATTTGGTCAGGAGATTGGAGGCTACCTATTGAGCGCCGAACCCTCTCAAAGAGCGAGATACAAGTAGCTTGTAAAATGATGTATTGATTGGAAAACGAAACCGTGCAAGACCTTCGCATTGACGACCCGTATTATTTGTTGTGGCGTTAATGCCAAAAGGTTACACCACTTGCAGCTAGCGCGAAGATTGCGCTGATTGCACTGCAAGGCTGTGACCCGACACGGCCATCTGCAGCGCCCGAGCCTTACTCCTCCATCTCTCCTTCATTATGAAAATCGGAACATTCGAACAACGCTGAAATGCCTGGAGCAGTTCCAGAAGCTGACCCCGAGACTTCCATCTACTTCTTGAAGAGAAATGACCTATATACCGATGAGAAGCCATATTCACTGCGCTTCACACCGCCAGATGACTTTCCACGATCGAATATCGTCCTCGAGAAGCATGATGTTACGATTCGCGATATCCGTCCTCGGTTGAATGATCTCTCTTTCGAGGAGAATGGATTCACAATTATGAGCCTTGACAGTAGCATGAGCTACGATGACTACGACGATGAAGAGAAGCTTATCAATATCTATCTGCGAGAGGTTGCGGACAGCCTTCGCGCTTTCTTAGGAGCAGTGCATGTGCAGATTTTCGAGCATACTGTATGAAGCACCATTCGTCTGAGGCCATCAAGACTAATTGAATCAGGTGAGGAAGAGGCATGCCGAGTTCCCCATTTCAACCGGCAAGCCGTATAGGTACAATCAGCCGACGTCGATGGCTCATGTCGGTAAGCATGTCCTACGAAGAAATGCTCAGTCCACTACTAACTCTGTAAGATACTACGCCTGAATGGGCACGAGACATGGTCCAAAAGCTCAACCAGGACAACGCCGACACAATCTTGAAAGACCGAGTGCAGTGTGTGAATGTATGGAAACCACTCAAGGGCCCAGTGAAAGATTGGCCTCTGGCTATGTGTGATCCACGTTCGATCAAGCCTGAAACGGACCTGGAGCCCTGTGACCTAGTCTATCCGGATTATGTGGTCGAGAACCGCCAACTGTACTATTCTCCGCGTCATGAATGGGTCTACCTTTCCGGCCAGCAGCCATCCGAGGCGTGGGTGTTCTTGCAATCAGATACGACCGCAGATGTGAAGTCGGTGCCGCATACAGCATTTCCAAATCCCCTAGCAAACAAAGATGCTGCTCCCCGGGAAAGTATTGAGGTTCGTGCATTGGTTTACTATGGGGGATTTGATGGTGAATAGGCAGTGCAAGTTTCGATGAAGGAATGAATGCAGGCTCTTCCGGTGCTGGTCGGTACAAGTACACCTATATATGACTAGAATTCCAACCAATCATTTTACAACATAGTGTCAGTCAAATATAGGTGGCGAAAGTGGGTCAAGGGAAATTGGCTGTTTGCTAGCTGCCATCAGTCTAGTACGCTAGACCGAGCTTAATCAGACTGCCACCAACACCTCACTCCAACTCCTATAGGAAATGCCAAACTCCAGTTCAATTGGGCATCACGCCCAAGCTCATATCATTCATGCTCTTTATCGAAGCTCCAGCGCAACTCCAGGAGTCGCCAGTCGCCCACCCTGCCCTCAAGCATCGTGAGTGGGGTTGGAAGCCTTCACGCTCTCTTGTTCCAGAGCCCAGCCGTCCCTCACAAAGAAGTTGCCTGCGTTGCCGTCGAAGACCATGACTTCTCCCTTTTTGAAGCCAAAGATCTGGGCTTGAGGCTGGGACTCGCGGGGAGCAGGCCAGATGGCCTTCCAAGGCTGAGCCTTCATGGCAGCCGGCTTTTCGGTGGATTGCTCGGTAGAGGTAGTCATGGTAATGAACGCCTTCAGATTGGCAGTCAGCGGCTGGAATCTTCCATCTGCGTGAACATCACACCACTTACCTGTTTAAAAGGGTGTTCAATGGGGGTGTTGTCACTGTCAATGGGTAGAAGCCGAGTACTATGACACCATTCAGTCTCAATCGGACGCAATTGCCAGATTGGAAGGTTCCTACGTCTTCGATGGATCCTTCTGGGAACTTCGCAGTGTTCAGCAATGCAGATGCAGATGTTTGATGGCAATGTGGCCTTATCGCAATGGCTTGAGGTCCGAATTGAAGAGGAGGTCGGAGGCAGGTCAATTGGCGGCGGCGAGGGAGCTGGGAGGTGATCCGGATATTATTCGAGCCCGATTTCGCTCGTGCGACGACAAGTCATCGTCGCGGCGGTGAGAGGGGTCAGCCTTGCGATTGCGTGCCTTGCCAGATGCCGTAAGGTGTCGGGCGCCTATCTGCCTCATGCGTCGAGGCCGCATGACGGTCGCCCATCTCTTCAACGAAGCTTCAATGTCGACGATGGGAAGCACGGCAGCGTAGGAGGGTGTTGCACCACGCTCGGTGAGCGGCACACTTCAAGACTTGGCAGCACGTTGCGCGCGTGGCTCGAGCAGATCCATTACGAGGTGCGGCAGATTGATGCATGCATGCCCTATTTCCGCGACCAAAAAGCAATACCCAGGATATACAACGCCGCCCTCGGACCAGTTGTTCGTACAAGAGACCGCCAACGCACACTCCCAAAGTTGCACATGATCAACGATCCGAGAACACTCTGGGCGTCAGAGTACACACGCCGCCATCTGCCCTGCAATCGCCTGCACAGAACCGAGATTCCCGCATTCCCACACGTGGCTGACATCCATCTTGAAAGCCGTCTTCAACTCTTCTTCCAGCGGAACCACGATGCTGCTGTAGAGCGCTTGTCGAAACTCGTCCTCCTCCATGTCCAGGAATCTGCTCTGATCGAGGCAAGCTCGGATAGCACTGCTGTAATTGCCGTACATGTCGTCACAAGAGTCTTCAAGAATGCGGTGCGCCGTGAACAAGTTCGTGTTGACGTTCACGCGACCATCCTGACCACAGTCTTCGTCGGGCTTCCTTCTTGACTCAATTGTGTCCCCAAGATGGATCTCTAGTAGCATGATGCCCAACGCTAAGATAGCTGGGTATTGGTGCAGCGCATGGCCTGACGCTACGGCCTGAACAGACGAATCGAGGAAGTCTGTCGATATGTATGGCCGCTGAATATTGAGCACATCACTTCCAGCTTGATCACAAAAGAACTCGACGTGATCCTTAGACCACTCATCGCTCATCCAAGGGCTGCCATGATATTGAAGCATTGAGTGGGCTAAGACGACTGCCAACACTCTCTTTTGCTTCAACGTCAACTTCCTCTTCTCCCGGAGTAGCTTTCCAAGGGATGTTCCAGTGCCGAGACCGCGATGCTGGGTTGTGGATTTCGCGTGGAATAGTTGGCCATTGTCATAAAGCATCCGCAGCTTGCACTTGTTCTCGTACGCAACTTCCATCAGATGACAAATACTGTCAATTGCTTCCTCTGGCAAATCTGGAGACCGTGGTTCAATGACACTGTCTGCCCTTGTGCGGCTTCCACCGTCTTCGTCCTCGGCGAAACTGACGCATACTTTTGGTGTAGACAACCTACATCAACCTGTCAGCTCACACTTAGGCTAAGAAGAGAGCAAAGATCGGACTCACTTCTCGATGTTAATGCTAATCGTGCTACCATGCCACCTAGTAGTCTCGTAATCATTCAGTGGCCTTCGCGATAAGAGCACATCAAGATCCACTGTGGCAGAAGATTCGCAGAGCGAGCTTTGCATGCTCTTCACCATATCAACTCTTCCTTCGTGATATGGTGGACAGCCACACGACAGTTGTCGAACCATTGCGTCGTAGAGGCTGTGCAGAAACTTCCAGAATTGCCTTTTCGGAGCTGCCTTACGCGAAGGCTTAGTGCTGGGTGGCTCCTGTGTCTGACTGAGGAGCCGCTCTAGGTTTTTGTTGTTTTTAGTGAGTCTCTTCAGCAAGCGCTTTCGCTTGTCCTCTCTAGTACTGAACTGAACTCTCCGTAAAAGAGAACTTTTGCTGTCTCCGTGCGTGATATTTCGTCTCAAAATAGAGAGCTTGCTATACTCATCGCTTGGGTTCTATCAAGGAAGACTGTTAGCATATGCGAAACGGGATACCCAGCTTTCACTTACCGCGACAGCTCCATGTTTCTTGAGAGTCTCGAGAGTCTGACCACTTAGAATATCCTCTAAGATCCGAAGCGTTGCTTGTACTGTAGCCGAGAACGACTTGTAAGACGCGCCCAATCTATCCTCCAGGGCGGTTGTGACCTCGAGACCTTCCCAGCTGCTAGGATTCGAGAAGTCACCAAGTTGTCGAGCCTGATCTTCCGAAAGCGTTGGTAGGTCACGAATGAGGTTATTGATGGTTATGTCGAGGAAATTGATTTCAATATGAAGATCCTGGTAAAAATCCGCAAGCTTCTCAGCCGCGTTAGAAGGGTGGAGTGCTGCGCGCACTGGCCGGTGTATTCTCTTTGAATGCTCGGCAGCGTTGACCAAGATCGGTATCACTGCCAGCAGCAGACCAACTTCTGCTCCAGACATGATGAGATTTGAGGTGGGGAATATGGGAGATCGAGGCCGAGAGAAATATTTGATTCCTTCTCCCGGGCCCTTTACATATGCTATCTTCAGGCAATGTGGGGGTTGGTCGAGGCTTAACTCAGCCCACCGGTTTGCCTCACGGCTTGCGACAATGCGAACCACGAAATAATCATCCAGCCTGGCCACCATGTTCTTTCGCGTGTCTGCCTTGTGTTGATATCGCCCCGCGGAATCAACCAATCGCTCTACCCTGTCTTTTCAGGACCGGTCAGTTGAAAACGTGCCCGCCCCTTCGCCTCTTTTCGTGAGCCCTGGCTGCAGTATCGACTCTGCGTCCGTTCAATTTCTTGTACCCATCAGTTTCTCCATGTTGCGGCCTCTCGATGGATAAGAGAACGTTAGAGACACAGGCTTCAGCTTGTGTAGTCCTATTCAATCGCTTGAAAACACTGTTGTCTCAAGACGCACCACATGAGAAAGCTGTGCTGATATCAGCCTTAGACGACCAGCACGGCCGCTTCAATATCTGGGCTGGAAACATTGGAGTATTCGCAGCAGGCCATGCGTCGTTAGATTATCGACTGCGCGAAGAACATCAGCCAAAATCTCTTGTTGGTGGACTCCTCGATGGACTGCAAGATCATCTTCAAAGGGGTACGTGTGCTTTGATGTTACTGGTCCTGTAATTTATGAAACCATTGTCTTGCATCCAAATAACCAGATGAGTAGCAACGTATATTCACCAAAGCACATTCGGTATCAATGAAGACGACGAAGAAGAATCCGAGGGTGCTTCAGCCTATGTCGACGATACCACTTCGGTCTCAAGTCATTCCGCATCGTCTGCTGCACCGCAATCCTACTATTCTGCCTCCGCGTCGGATTTGGGCTCGGAAAGCGACGCCAAGTCTGAGACGCTCCCTCCTTTTGAAGAGCGGATCCGTTCCGTAGAGCAAGTAGTAGATAGGCTGTTCAGATTCACCACGGTATGCGCTCCGTCCGACCTTATCTTAATCAGTTCTAATTCCGGCGCGCATAGGCTATCCGCAAACCGTCGCAAGCCACACAGAACCTCAAGGCAGACATCAGAGTGATCAAGGATGAAGCAGGAAATGAATCCGGTCCAAATTTCGAGCTATTCGCTCGTAGTTTCGTCAAGCATCGCTTCCCAGACGCGGACGCTGCGTTACTTGAGAGAATAAGCAGGGCCATGCTTCTGCGCAGACGGCGTTTCATCTTTCGCCGAAGACATCAGAGCAAACTTGATAGCAAAGGCTTAAGTCCTACCGTCTCGAAAACAATACCTTCATGGGGTGCAAGTCAGATATCACGAAACACTCTGGTCCCGGCGCCCCAGATTGCGTCCTCAACAATCTCGAAGCTGACTGCGAAACCGGAGCGTGGTGCCCTTTCTTGTACCACGGCATCGGCATTTCCTCGCGCATTCAGAGCGGACTCCGTTCTCGCACCATCGACAAAAGCGCCATCTACAGTGTTTGCCGGTTCCCACGCAGATGCAGTTCAAGTTCCACCTCCACCAAAACTGTTACCTTCCAGCAAAGAATTTGAATGTCCATATTGTTGCATGATTCTGCCTGCGAAGGAATCAACACCGACTCGATGGAGGATTCACGTTCTCCAGGACTTAGAATGTTACGTCTGCGTATTCGATAATTGTTCTCGGGCGGATCACCTATTCTCAGACCGTGGGTCTTGGATTTCCCACATGGAATGGGAGCACGCACGACAGTGGCACTGCACTATGCATGGAAAATCCCCCGAAGTATTCGAGGCTGAAACTGATTTCGTCGAACATATGAACTTAGGCCACCCAGGTGCTTTCACAGACGTCCAAATTTCACAACTCAGGCACATGAATGCAAGACCATCGCAAAACATCTTTTTGTCATGCCCCCTCTGCGGTTTGGAGCCCCCGAATGACCTTGTTGAAGGCCTTGAGTCGCCACAAGAGTCAGACTATACTATCCGGCAGCGAAAGAGCAAGGCAATATCTACCTTCGTGGCAAACCATTTGGCCGCTCATCTCCAAGAAGTCGCCGTTCGGTCTCTTCCATGGTCCGAAGACGTCGAGGACGACGCTTCTAGTGTACGCACCGCATCTCGTAACGGCAGAGGTAGTACTATCGACCATGATGACGATCAATCACCCCTTGATTTTGAGGACGAAGGCCCTAATTTGACACCCGACGTCGAGGCCGATTTGGCAGAACCAGAGGGCGAGAAGAGCCTTGAATGGGGGTTCATCTCTAAAATTGAGTACGAAGGACACGATAACGACAAGCGTCTGCAAGCCTTTGTTCAAGCATTCTACATGTCTGACGCCAGCACGGATCGATCCGAAGTCCGATTCCCATGCCACCTGATGCCCTTCGGGCGCAACCGGTCTTTCTTTGGCCGCAAAAAAGAGTTGACAGACATCGAGAATGCTCTGTGTCCTGCGAGACCAGAGGAAGGGCCCGAAGAATATTCGCTGCTCAGAACATTTGCGATTACTGGAGCGGGTGGCATGGGCAAGTCTCAGCTCGCGACTGAGTTTGTTTGTAACAACAAAAGCCTATTTGATGCAGTTTTCTGGGTTCACGCGGACGAGCAGTCCAAGCTTTCCGAAGACTTTAGCAGCATTGCGCTTGCTCTCGGCCTTGTTGGACAGGACTCGCCGGAAGCAACGGATCACGTGTTAACCAGAGAACGTGTCAAAATGTGGCTGGCTCATCCTCTGAAGGGGCAGTCTACAAAGAATAGGAGAGACTCCAGACGAGATAGCAATGAAGAAGGCCCCCTGGCGTCGTGGTTACTAGTATACGACGGAGCAGACAGACCAGAGCTCTTGAACGTCTTTTGGCCTCTAGGAGGCTCGGGGTCTATCCTCATAACAAGTCGCGATCCTCTCCCATGGACAGCATCTTTGGATCTGAAGCCATTCAGCCCGGAAGACGGAGCCGGCTTCCTCTTGAAGACAACGAAGCGTGGCGCCTCGAAGGAAGACGAAGAGGATGCTATCACGATCTCCAAACGACTTGGTGGACTACCGCTGGCTCTGACCCAGATGGCCCGCTTCATCACAAACTCGAATTTGACTTTCTCGGACTTCATCCGAGCTTACAATGAACGAGAGAAGAAAGAAGCAATGTTCAAGTTTCAGGTTGATGGCCCAAACGCACAGGCAAACTACGGCCACAACCTCGCATCTGTCTGGGCGCTTGAAAACCTTAGGGAAGGGAAAGCTCTCTTGGACGTGATTTCCATGCTGGATCCGGATAGCATACCGGAGCACATATTGACATCATTTGCGGACACTGTCAATCTGAAAGAGTATCCGAAGTCTATCAAAGCGTACAGCGTCGCGAGGACTGAGCTCATTCAATCCTCCATCGTCGGCGGAAATGCGCGGACACAGACTCTCTTCATTCATCGTCTCGTGCAGGACGTCGCACGGCTGCGGATGAGTCGGTCTCAATATAGGGAAACGTTTGATGCCGCTGTTCGACTTATCTCGTCCGTCTGGCCCTACCAGGTATGATTTGAAACCACCTAGACTAGTCCCTAATGGCGATACTGATGGTAAATCAGCCTTTCACGTGGCGGCACAGTATTTCCCGTTGGTCGAAGTGCGCAGACCTTTACCCTCATATCATTCGGCTTAGGGAGCTCTCAAAGCCCTTTTCGCCCGATCCGGATAATGTGGCGGGCGATTTCGAATATGCGAAGCTGCTGATGGATGCCGGCTGGTAAGTGTCTCGTGTCCTGTGGATGTTTGGATTCCTTAATGATAACTTGTTATAGGTACCAACACGAACGTGGTGGGTCATCAGAAGCAGTGGGATTCTATGACACTGCACAGTACATATGCGAGTCGATCAAAAACCTAATCCCAAAGCCCGCTCCGCAGATCGAAGAACCCACCCAGTGCGAGCTGGCATTCATTCAAGCAGAGTTGGCCGTCAGTAATAATGCGCAGCCGACATCATTGCTATCGTCCCCGCCCTCTGCAACACCTCATACTGTCACTTTCGCTGAGCCACTTTCGAGATCCGAACACGACGAAGTTCCACTTTGCGAGCAGATATTCCTAGTCCATCGTGAATTGGCAGTCACGGATTCTGGAGCCACAAGCTCATCGGCACTTACTCGAGTTCGTTCAAACTCTGCCAGCATGCCGCAAGTTCTAGCGCCACGAGCCGGAGGGAGAAACGTAATTTCCGAACAAGAGGTAGATGCAGTTCTGGCAGAGTTACACCATAATCGGGGCTGTATTGCTACGGAAACAAACTGTCCCAAGGACGCTTTGAGACATCACGGCATTTTCAACACTATGATGCTGAAAGAGTTTGAAGGACGGCCACCTGGAATCGACTGGCGCCTCGGAATCTCATGGAACCAGCTTGGAACGGCAAAGATGATCAATGAACTGTGGGAGGAAGGAGAGGATTGCTTCCGTCGTGCGATTCTCGCGATGCACAAGGTGGACAATTTCAAGCAAGTGTGGATTTCGCTACCGGTCGTCAATCTAGGCCAAGCGTACTGGTTGACGAATAGATGCGAGAAGGCTCTCATAATTCTAACGGAGGTAAGCTATATGATAACTCAACGTGGCCGCGCTAAAGCTAATTCATTCCAAGGGACTATCGTATCGGCAGGCACATTTTGGAATGGACGACAAGGAGTCTTTCATGTAAGTTATTGGAGGAAATTGAAACGTCAAAGTTGATACTGACTCGTTCTTTAGTACTGGCAGGTTCTTCCACGCTATTGGTAATGTCAAAGCAACCCAAGGACATATGGAAGAAAGTCTAGATTTCCACCGCAAGGCGCTGCTTCACTACAAAAACACGTTGGGAAACAACCATCATCGAACTGCAGATATCGTAGGTCTTCCAGCCTTGAGATTCATTCTCTCATGCTTACCATCACAGTGCATCAAAGTCGCCGAACATTGTATTCGCAAAGATCAGATTGACACAGCACTGTGAGTACATGTTTGCTCCCCCGGGAAAGCACTTCAGCTAATCATCGATGCTCCTGCTAGTACTCTATTAGACCAAGCCCTAAGAGCCTACGGCGACCGCGAGGCTTACAAGCCAGAGAAGGCGCGGGCACACTTCAAGAGAGCCAAGACTTTGCGACTATTAGGCAGGAAAGATGAGGCGGAGGACGAGCTCCAAACCAGCTGGAAGCTCTATCAAGAAATCAGGCCGAAGGACACGCGGCCTGTGCGCGACTTGATAGACGACGACTTCGATAAGACCGTGGTCTTCTGGTCCAGATGAAGAAGAAGGCAGCAATGTGCGCCTTTGGCTGTGCGTGGGTTGTGCAGATACGAGACTTGGAATCCCATCCCGCGGGCGTTGCTGTGGTTGCCTTGCTCGCTGACCTGAGCAGGTGGGGGATTTGGATCAAATCGATATAAAAGCACTTTGTAATAATCTTCAGCCTGATTCTCCATGACCGCGAAAGCCACACAGAAGCTCTTCGGCCTCGCAGGTGTGTTCGATAAAGTTCTAGATGCGGCTACGCTAGTCCGAATTCTCTGACCGGTTGGCAGCAGCCTCACTTTCGAGACATGCAAGGCGGCGGAAAGCCCCAGTGGAGAAGGCAGCAGCTTGCATGGTTCCATGTGCTGATAGTATTGAGGCTTTGAACCCCACGCTTGTACGACGTGTTCACCGATGTCAGCTAAGTCTTCTTCGCTAGCGCATGAGGCGGTGTTGAAGAAGTATATACCCAAAGTGGCAAATCACATGATGAGTATCTGATGCTGGTATCGCCTCTACCACCTAACTTCGTTCCACAGTAACACGGCCCAGCACTTGAAAAACATCAGATCGTCATACCTGATAGTATCGCATCACGTGAGAAATACGTGATTTGTAGGAGCCGCGAAAGTGATGTGGCAGGATCAAATTCTAGAATCTCACTTGATTTCGCGTAAGAAATGGTAAGATACATCAACGGTAGCTCAAGTCACTGCGTCCTTAAGTCTAATTCGCTTCACCGATAGGGTACCTCTCATTGTTACACTCTACTCATATTTACATGATCACTGACTTTCACCCGACTTCGATAAACCAGTCTTCTCCTTCAACATTGCTCGGAAGTTAGAAACTAGACACGGCAGAATGTATTTCTTTGTTAATCAAAGAGCATACTCAGCGAGGACGCAAGGAGTGCCTGCTTTACTCGAGGCTCAAAGTCCAGAAACTCTACGTGATATAAGGTTGATACCTCAGTATCAGTTCGAGAACATTCTTCCTGCTATTCCTTCACAAGTGGATTCATGGACATCGCCATCGGCTTTCCTGAGATTGCACTTATTGGCATAACTAAGCAACCCGTCCGCATCATTGTCCAGCTGCAAATTTGGCGCATTCCCTTTATCGATAAGGGTGATCACTGTAGTTGACTCTTGAAACGATTTGGCCAACGCTTTGTCAAGACCACTTTTACCAATGGTTCCGACAAGACGGCGAAATAGGAAAACTCGCATACCACGGGTTTTGGAGTGTGGGGTTTTATCTGGACCGGGTTCTTCAAAACGCACAACCTTGATCGCCTGGCAAAGATTTTCCATAGATTCCCGTGGAATTGCACGTGGGATAGTGGTTTCTGAGAGATTGAGAAATGGCTCTGAGCGTTCCCGTCGTCCAATCTTAGAAAGGTCGATCAAGCGGTTGACAATGCGGATGACTATATATACAGTTCAGCTTCCAATTGATCACTTGCAGAATAGAATTAATGAGAGGCGTACTGGGAGGGTTGACTTCTGGTTTGAGAGAGCTACTATATTCGAGGGCTTTTTTGAGTTCGAGTTCGGCAGAACACCGTTGCTGAGACTGGCGGAGATACGGAATGTCTTTCACCATAGGCGTATACTTCGCGCTGTTTAGTGGGTTGAGCGGGAGATTGCAAATCGCATCCTCATATAGAGTGTCTAGGATTTCCTGAGACAGGGCAATATAATAGAGAGTCTTGATGATTTGCCACTGAGAGGAAAGGGAATACGCTACTCCGAAAGCCACAAGGACGGGTAGATTGACAGGCTCGAATTGCGGATGAATAGTCCTTGCTGTTTCATCCCAGTGGGAATTTAGTTCCTCGAGCTGCAGCTCTGACATTCTTTGGATGAGGCCAGATGTTGACATGGCTACGAGGAGCTCCCCTAGAAAATGTCGAGCGGCCGAATCGGACTCGAATGATAGACGGAAAAGATCGTAGGTGTCGTGTGTGATGAGAATCCCTCGCAGTCTGTGGCGCACTGAATCGGTCTTGCAGATCCAAGGTTGCCGGGAGAAAAGTGACGCATCGATATCGTAGGGAAACCAGCCTTCCTCCTTAACAGCTAGGGTTGATAAAGAGGACGAGCAAGATGAAATCGAGATCTTCTCTATTGCAATGGAAATGTCATCGACTTTGGTCGTATTGCCATTCATGTTTTCGAATGAGTATGATTGGGTGGTGGTACTGATGAGTGAATGGATGTTAAATTGGTGAACAGCTAAGAATGACAACGGGGAGGCCTATATAAATCCCTCGCAACGTCGAGGGGTAATGCTAGACGGCTTGCGCAACAACCCCGTGCTGCGAATTCGAATAATCTCAGGGGCCTGTGAGGATTGGATGACCAGCTGCCGTGGCTTAGGCGCGCGCCTAGGATTCAAGACCATTGCATCGGGAAACGTTTCACTGCTGTACCAGGCGCGAATATCTCGCCGGGGTAGCGTGCGCTATGCCTCGTTTGAAGGTGGCCTGCACAAACTTGTTGCTCGCTGTCGGTCAATTGTATAGAATAATAAGTATAATTTGTGAAGGAGAAGGATCGAGGTGGCAGCGGGTGAAGCTCTTAAGTGTCCACATTTTTGAAGAGGCAGAGCCGTTTGGGGCTGTCTGCCCACAGTGGGAACATGGGCGCGTCTTCGTAATCCTTGCAGCCATAGCGTTCGTTGAAGCCTTTGCGGGGTAGCTTAGGGGCGCCAAGGCAATGGCAACGCAGCAGTAGCCATGGATGGCGAGAGTGGCTGTCTGTGATGAGGGAGGAAGTGGTGCGCGGTGTTTGGCGAGGACATTTACCCTAGACATCTACTTCATTCCGCGTTGTTAATGGGTAGAAGATCTAGTAAGACAATTCATTACGCTTGTGCGTCTGATCCAAGAACACTAGCTAAGTTTGGCCTTTATCAGCGGCAGTTGTAGCCACCATCTTGACTTTCACAATGCCGGGAAAGGAATCGTTCCTTTCGGGGGGCACATTTTGCGATGTGTTCTGCAACACGATGAGTACCGAGTTTAGCCCTGAAGATTATGAAGAACCGCTGAGGTCGCTGTCCAATCTTCGTATCTCTGGAGACCGGGGATGTCTGAAGTGCCAAATACTATACCGAGCCTGTGTGCAGCTGCATCCAGCACTAGAAGAGGACGCATCCTTCGTCCTTGTTCGCCTCGAAGAGCACCATACAGTAGTCCGTGTTGTGCTTGGCGATGCCGAAGAGGACCGTCGGATCGTAGGGAACCAAGAAGTACATCTCCATTACCTGTACAAGACGTCGCCTCCGGACTGGATCATCTTGTATCCTTATAGAAAGCCTTCTGCGGCTCGGAGGACTGGATTCAAACCGGTGCTCTCAGAATGGCTAAACGATTGTGACAAGAATCATTCTGCTTGCAAGAGAGGAAATAAAACCTTACCTACCCGCGTCGTCAACGTAGGTGAAAAGAGTGCAGAAGGATATGATCCATTTCTCCACATTTCTAGTGGTGAAGTAGGCCAGTATGCTGCTCTGAGCCACTGCTGGGGCAAAACGACCTTTTTGAAGACTACAAAGAGCAACGTCACGCAGCATCAGAGCCGTATTCCATTCACAGCCCTGCCAATCAACTTCCAGCACGCCGTAATTGTCTGCAGAGCTATTGGCATCCAGTACATATGGATCGACTCGTTGTGTATCATCCAAGATGATGGGCCTGACTGGGAAATCGAGGCTTCGAGGATGGCATCGATATATCAAAACGCTTCCGTCGTTCTATTTGCTAGCAATGCTGCTGATTCTCAGGGTGGACTATGGAGCAAGAAGTGGGACAAGGATGCAGCGCATGCCGATGGCATTGAAGAGTTCGAATACATCAACCACGATGGAACCAGATCTCAAATAATCGCTAGGAAATCACCATCCCACGATACTCTGATTCCTGGACCCTATCTGGAATATGAGGCTCCTTCTCCACTCTCTACACGCGCTTGGGCATTCCAGGAACAGCTGCTTCCGGAACGGAGCATTTTTTTTACCGGAAAGGAGTTGCTCTGGAAATGCCAAAGTGGTCAGAAATGCGAGTGTATGCAGGAGGATTACGAGTACGACACAATTAACGACCTGGACAAGGATTTCTGGGAGAGAGCGCATTCTGAGGACGCCATAGAGCGATTCGGTGGTTGGCGTAGCCTTCTTGCAATCTATTCCCGGAAAGAAATAACATATGACTCTGACCGGTTGCCTGCAATATCCGGATTGGCGAAATATATGCAGTCACGAGGTGCAGGCACATATCTTGCTGGAGTTTGGAAAGAAGACCTACTTGAATCTCTTATTTGGCTCCCAAGACCAGTTTGGCCCGACGTCAGTGAAGACAACATGGTCAGCACATATCGGAAACGCACGTCGACATATCGCGCTCCTACATGGTCATGGATTTCCCTAGAAACTCATCAAGATGGACAAGCCAAGCCGAAGTGTCCTGGCATTCAAGACTGGGTTGAGAACCATTGGAGACTCGATGTACAGCATGCTAAACTGATAGAAGCAACCTGTGAGCCCATTGGAGTAGACCCTACTGGAGCTATAAAATCAGCTTATATCACCTTGAAGACAAGATGCGTGGAGAGCTTGGTCACGTGGGAAAATCGCCGCGCCCCTATCGTATGCGGTACAGTTAAAATCCATGGTGTATATTGGGATATTGACCTTGACGTCGGTCGAAAGCTGAAGATACTATGTGCGTTAATTGGGGAGGGAGATGGATTTGCGTACCTAGCAATAGTCTTGCAACCATCAAAGACTGCAAAAGGAGCTTTTGAAAGAGTCGGGTTAGTGCAAACTGTCAAAGGGCTGGCCGAACAAGCTGAAGTGGACCTTTTTGATGATGTACCGGAGATTACGGTGAAAATAGTCTGAATCTAAGCTGTAATATCTTGGTTACTACTTTTAGACTTAGGAGAGAACTAGTACTCGCCACCTCGCTTATGCGAGTGTGCCACTGCCACTACTTTTGTGCCCCGCGTGTTATAAATACCCCGCGTACAAAGGTACCAAGTAGAGCGAAACTCGCAAATCACGTCTCTGCTCTCGGGTCATTCTTTTCTCTCCTGAGCTCCTTACGTCATACCTTTACAGGCAACGCCTCTTGAAAATACAGCAATATGCTCTTACCTTAGCATAGCTGAAGCAGTAACGATTTTCTCGCCATTCTCTCTTTCTCTCTGCCATATAAAATCTGCTACGACAGAACTCTCCTTCGTCGTATGCTACGCCGCGTGTCCCGAAGCAGCAGCAATTCCAAAAGTTAATAAGAAGAACTACGCCAGAAATAAAAACCCACGTCGATGGAGCAAGAAGCCCGTAGCCGCCTCCGTGTAGGCTCAGGCGACCCCGTGTGGTTAACCTCCACCCGCACCTTCGCCCTCGGCTCCGTCAACTACCTAGTCTCCTCCCAATCCGTCAGTACCCCCTCTCCCTATCCAACTCTTCACCCCTCAACCCCTAACTACCCTCCTAGGAAGCCGTAACAGTCGACCGCCAAGAACCCACCCTCTGCACCGTCATCAAACCCACCCTCGGCACCCCCATCACCGCGTCCTACCTCCGCACCCTCGTCTCCTCCTTCACCGCCACCGACGACGTCTTCCGCCCCGAGTTTCTCGCCGAGCTGCTCTTCCTCGACCCGCCCGGCGCCGGCGTCGAGATGGGCGCCGACGCGCAGGAGCAGCTCGAGGCGTTTGGCACGCGCTGGGTCGTGTACCTAGACCAGAGAGCGGTGCCAGATCTGCAGCCGGGGCCGTACGTGATTATGCAGAAGAAGCTGTGGAAGGTGTGGCGGGTGTATTCTGATTCCACGGGGGCGCTGATCGAGGCGCTGAGGCCCGGGGAGATGAAGGCGAGTGATGCGTTTGAGAGGCTGGAGGTGGGAGGGACGCATGAGGGGATGAGTGTTGCGGTGCCGTCGCGGTTAGGGTATTTCGCGTTTATGGGGGCGCCGCTTGCGGGGTTGAGAGTTATTGTGAAAGACAACTTTCACTTAAAGGGATTGAGAACAAGTTTAGGTAACAAGGCGTATTTGGAGACGTATCCGCCGAGAGAGAAGACGGCGACTTGCATCCAGCAGTTAGTGGCAGCTGGGGCCGTCGTTGTAGGAACGGCGAAGCTGGTGTCATTTGCAGCTTGGGAGGAGCCGACGCAGTGTATTGACTACCAGGCCCCTTGGAATGCGAGAGCGGATGGATACCAGTCTCCAGCTGGCAGCAGTAGCGGCAGCGGAGCAGCCATTGGAGCGTATGACTGGCTCGATGTTGCTATAGGATCTGACAGTATGTTGAATCTTCTTTCGGTCTTCGCGTTAGGTACTAAATTGAGTAAGCTAGTGGTAGCGGTAGGCGTCCTGGGTTATGGAACGGCTGCTTCGCGATGCGTCCAACTTTTGGAGTCGTTCCCCTGGACGGCTTTGTCTCGAGCTTCAAGTGTGTTGACCAAGCTGCGCTTGTGTACTGTGTTTAACGAACAGTCAGAATGTTCGATACCCCTTCTTTTTTAGGGCGGAACCTGCTTCAGATGCGGAAATTCGCTTTAGCTTGGTACGGGAGTCGGATATCGACGAAGGGCCTGAAACCTATTTCAGCATTAATCTGGCCTTCGGACTACTGGGAAAGTATCAACCCGGTCCAGCGAAAGCTAGCTCGTGAGTTCGTCGGTGATCTGGAAACGTTCTTGGGTGTCCAACAAGACCAAGTCTCTTTCGCTGACGAATGGTCAAGAGCACCGCCTCGAGAAGCCGCCAGTGATTCGCAGAGTGACTTCATGAAAGATGTGAGTAGCTTTTCCAGACCCAAAATGCATATGTTGATACTCGCAGGCGACAAAGGATGCATTCTGGTACGACGATTACCACGCACTTGACGACTTTCGATCCGACTACCGCAGCAAATTCGACAAACAACCATACGTTAGCCCACCAGTTCGAACACAATGGTAGATCGATTTCGACTCACATGAATTCCCATCCATATAGCTAACACCGACCGATCAGGGAATCCGCATCAAAAATAACTCCCGCCCAACGCGACGAAGCCGTTCGCCGCATCAGAGTCTATCGGGAATGGTTCCTTTCCATGATAATGGCCTCCAAAAGCCGCAATGCTCTCGTCATCCTACCAATTGAGGACGTATCCCCTCGGTATCGGGACCAGCCGCCACCTCCATTCCCTGCTCCGTCAGGCGTGACGACCCTGACGTTGAGCTCCATTCTAGAAGCACCGGAGCTCGTCATACCGATTGGAGAGATCCCTTACCAATCGGTGGTTAGCGGGAGAGAAGAGAGGCTGCCGGTGGGAGTTGGGCTGCTAGCTTTACCTGGTAAGACCATTCCCAAGACATCTGTCTAACACTTGATGGATCCGCTTTGCTAAAAGAAATGATAGGTAGCGACCTGATGCTGATGGATCTCGCTCGTGGATGTCTAGAAAAGGCAGGAAGGCCGGTGAATCTGCACACAGGGCGGTTTATGTTCAAAAAGGAGTAGATGGAGAAAACAGAAAACCCATTCGTGTCATTCGTTCCTACATACGCCGCGAAGACCTCTTTGTACTAGCACGGATAATATAATATACATACCAGTGGCAGCCTTGACATCAGCATTGAGCACTCAAGATGATGATAAAGAGAAACGGTATTGTAGAACATGAACGCTAGCTGTACTTATAAAATGAAATGAGCGACTCCCACATGAACGCCAATGATGCACCGATTACCGGCTTAGGCAGCCGTAGTACTACTGACTCGTCTACCAGATCGTAGCGTCTTTGTCGAATCGCACGAGCTCCTTCCCCGCATCTTCGACATCCTTCTTCGCCTTCATCCGCATGTAGAAGATCGGGCAATCCTTACTACTGCAAATCACCTCGCAGTGGATGCTCCCCTGGCACCTCTGACACTGAGTCCACAGCCTGGCAAACCTGACCTCGAGTTCCGAGACCTTGGAGAGGGTCTTTTGGTAAAGCTCGCCGAAGCGTGGTCTGCAGTTCTCGCAGACAGCGCCTTCCCTCTCCATGGGGCTAACGAGGGGCTTTCTGCATCCCATGCAAGTCTGCGTCTTTTTCGCGAACCTCATGAGCCCGCTGTTGGTCGGGGCCGCAACAGATATGCTGCGAGTGTGATCACCCGTGAGAAGCTGGCCGGCCTTCTTCTCGCCCAGAATAGGCTCGAAGATACGACCCAGTGGTTTTGCTAGTTGGTTGTCGAGGTAGTATCTAGTATCGATCGGAATGTTGTTCTCTAGGACATAGATAGGGTCCTCCGACTTTTCGTAATTCTTCGAACCAGCTGCACCCTTGACAATGACATAGGCAACACGATCGCCCAGAGCGGGTGCAGATCCAGCATCGCGCTTTTTCATCCTCTTGGCCAATTCAACATGAGCTTGGACGTTCTCATACTTGTCTTTTGACAAGGCTTTGGTAATGACGAGGTTCGACATGTCAACCTTGTTCTGCAAGAGGTCGGAGATGGTTTCCTTGACGAAACTGTACAGTGTTAGCATTTTGAAGAATTTAGATTTCAACAATCTTACTCTTGGGCACCCTGGACGTCGCGATCAATCAGCAGCATGCGTAAAGACGTCTCAATAACCGTTTGGACCAGCCTGCAGTTATCTCGTCGGACCGTCTCAATACCCTTGGTGTCCATCTTGTCATATTTGTTGGGATTCGTCCAGTATAGACCAGCGTATCGCTTCTTGTTGATCAGGAGATAAGGGAAGTACACTTTTTCGAACTCAAGTTTGATCGGCTTGATGAACTTATCAGAAACGTAATCGGCAGCTTCTTGGCCAAGCTTCATTGACTCCGCCAAATCCCCCGTGCCAAATTTGACCATCACGGAATCTGTGTCACCGTAGATGACTTGGGCATCATGAGTGTATCCGTTAGCTATGGTGTATTTCTTCTCAACCTCATCTTTGGTCTTCTCAATCATTTGTCGACCATAGCTGGTAGTACTACTGGCGATGGCCAAGCAAGGAAGCTTTCCGTTCGTGGCACCAGTAAGACCGTACACACTGTTCGCGCTGATCTTCAGAGCTAGTTGACGACCATTGAGTACAGCCTTCTTGAATGGATCCGTTTCAACCGCCAACTCTCTTTTTGCTCGCTTTCGTGCGCCAAGCAGTTCTTCAAGAATTTGGCTCAAAAGACCTTTGCGGACCTCCGAAGTGCAGAACAAATCTCCATTTGGAGTAACGATGTAGTCCTTGTCTTTGACCAAGTTGTGTGCCTCCACTTTTTTCTTATCGAGAAGAGTTGTGTAGCACAAATTGTGAGCCTGAATGATGCTAGGATAAAGTGAAGCAAAGTCGAGAGTTGCAATGGGCACATCGTAGTATCCACGAGTGGGCTCGATGACTGTTGCTCCTTCATACTGATCTTCCGATGATTCGTTCCGAAGGTTGGGGATGACAAGATTCTGCTCCAAAGCTTTCCGGAACAGCTGGCTGAGGAACTTGATTTGCTGACCCCGAGATAGAAGGAAATTAAATGGAACTCCCGTGACTCTGGCCATTTCTGTGTAGTTGACGAGGCACATAAGCTTGTCCAGCAATCTCTGGGGGAGATATGCATCCTTGAGACAGTACACGGCTAATCTTCGACGAGAGTTGGCATCCCCGTTGAAAAGTTCCGTGATCATGGTATGATGAACGTCTTCTTTCTGCTCCTTCAAGAAATGTGCGCAAACAGAATTGAGCGTGTAACTCCGCAACTGATGGTCCCTCTGTACCAGCTGTAATAGATCAAGTTGGAGCCTTCCGTTGGTGTTGGTCGCCTGTGTTTTTCTGTTGCCCATCTGCTTACTGGAGAATTTCGTCCCTGTGGAAACAGACTGAACATTCTTGAGTCTTGACCAATACGGGAATTTCGCCACTTTCAGATGCTTAGCTCGATCTAGCAAATACGGAAAGTCGAAATTGGAGATGTTGTATCCAATGATGACATCGGGGTCAACCTCTTCCAAGAAGTCTCTCCATTTCATGAGCATTTGAGATTCGTTTGCAAACTCGAATATTTGCGTAGCCACGATTTGGCTGCAAGTGTCCAGGGAGAAGACGTTGCGCACGAAGGGTTTATCTGATCCGTACTTGGTAACGACATTTGCGATTTGGATGACCTGATCGTGCTCGGCCTCGGGGAAGATTCCTTTGCGGCCTGCACATTCGATATCGAAAGACAGGATCCGAAGCGGAGCCATCTTTGCCCATTCTCCGTCAACAGGATGTGCTATAAGGTCCGTGTAGTGTACAGATGCCTCGATCTGGCAGTTCGAATGACGTTCTCTCTCCGGGATCATACGGAATTTGTTTGCAGGAACTTCGACCCACGACATACCAGCAATCTGAGTTCATTAGCGTTGACTGAGACAAGCATGGAGGAAGTCATACATGACAATCGATCATGAACCGCAAAACGTATTGAATCTCGTCAAATGTCAAGATTCCATCCGCGTGCCCTTTCCAGAGGCCGTTGTAGTTCGCATTGCCGCTTTCGAAAGCATTGCGAATGCCGTACTTCCCGTTGAGGTATTTTGGGTCCGTGGCAGTGATTTTGATGTAAGGGCTCTGCATGTTTCCCTGATACCCATATATATTCTCTCTCGCCACGAGCTGGACGGACTGCACTGCCGGCGCATGGTATTCTAGGCGCGTCTCGATGTATGCCTTCAAGGGCTGGCAATCGGCTTGGGTGAAGCCCGCTGGAGCAGCAACGTACATGTAGTGGCGGAAGCCGGTAACGTGCAAGAGAACCGAGTGCCCGGTCTGTTCGCAAGGCTTCTTAGCGTTTGATCTACTCTCACTAGAAGAGGCCACTCACCTCAGTGACACCAAAGAGCTTCACGGTTGTCTTGCCCCCATTGAGGGTACCTTCTTCGGCATCAATCTGCTGGAAGCAGAGATTGTCTTTCTTCTCGTCGAAGTCGCCCAAACCAGGTCGCTCCCATTGTTGGTCCCGCTCGGAGTTGTTCTCCTTGAGACCACTGATTTCTTGGGTTAGCTTCTCGAGTTGCTCCTCGAACTGACTCTTCGGCTGGCTGGACGCGAGAGCCGCACGCCCATTCGGAGCTCTGAGAGCGGCGCCGTTGCTTTCCTTGAAGGACCCGTTGAGCTTCATCTTTTTTGCGGAGCGTGGTGAGGCGAGCATATTGCCCCTCGTCTTGCTGCCCTCAGTGAGGACCCGTTTCATTGGGGTAGTAGAGGGCGGCATGTTGCTTCTAGCTGAGGTGGGATAGAATGTCCATGCGTTACGACAGGATGGGTGAGTTGATGCTGGTGTTGGTGCGGCGTGCGATGTTGTCGGAGGGTGCTCCAAGTCACGGTTTGAGAACGCCAGAACGCGTAGGGATCCCGTCGCGTTAATTAGGTGGAGCGTGCGCACTTATTCACCCAGCCATCTCTCGACGATCACAAAGTCATGCATTTTATGCGTTGCACCGTAGATAGCTCAGCAGTAATTGATAAGTTCAAATCTACAGTCTACGGGAATCTCTAAATAGTGTTCATCATGTCCTGACATCGTTGGCCATTCTATTCCCCGAAAACACCGATCTTACAGCCTCTCTGTACCTCCGGTGACCTAGCGCCAAAATCAAGCCACGAAATTATCGTATGAGGTAACGATTCCGGACGCCTTTAGGGGGGAATAACAGCTGCCTAGCCCATGAATTTTCACGCCGGCTCATTATTAGCCCAGAAAAGGAGGTATACAGGGGTAAACAGCACTCCACAAGGTGAAATCTACACCTTATACCTCTCTCCTATGTAGTTACCACCGGCCAACCGGAAGAGAAATCTAAGTAATTAAACCCAAATTGAAACTGGCTCGAGTCGTATCCAATACTCGGTTTCACTGCTTTGTAATGAGTGTTTACGATTCACTAAAGACCGAGGTTTGGAAAACAGCAACTCACCATAATGGTAATAGATCACTGGTTGTTTGAGAGTAGAGTCATACAGCACTCCTTGTCCACCCGGGGCATAGACATCGCCATGGCTCGCTAGAACCAGTGTGCCGCCATTTTGAGTCAGGCAGTTACGACCAGCCTGGTCCAAAAAGGGACCGCTTTGGCTTGCGGACCGGCAAACCATAACCTTATACTCGTCGCCTGGTTCAGCAAGATTGGGCGGGACATTGCAGCAGGCGCCGGATGAGAAGAAGAGGTAGTACCACTTCTTGCTTCCGACCTGCCACCAGAACTGATACGAGCCTTCAGTAACGCTGGGCCAGGTCTGCCCTGGTGGCACAGTGGAGTTTGAAGCAAGGTTGACGGAAGAGGTCGAAGCGAGTGCAAGTGTCGAGCTATCCAGTGTTGTTTGAAAGACCCCATCCCATGCGGACCCGAAGCTGAAGTAGATTGGTGAAGAAGAAGACTCCCGGAAAAGATTCGGATCAATGAGATTATAAGACTTTGATAGTGGTATCCCGAGACTCCCGTGATCGGTCCATGAACCTGGCTCCAGTGTGGTGGAGGTGGCGACTCCGATTTGCGAATCTTGAAAGCCGATATAGCTGACCGCATAGAAAGCATAATATATGCCATCAATAAGGCTGACGTCGGGGGCCTGAGATGGTCAGCAAGACTGAGATGAATGCAAGTAGCAAATCAGCCAATCATGATTCGGGGGAACACGAACCCAAGTGTCCTGCTTGTCAGATACATGTATCTTGGGTCCACCAGGCAGCATAGCTCCCAGATACTCCCAGGGACCGGTCAGACTCGGAGCGGAAGCAATAGCGATGTCTCCGCCGGTCGAAAGTCGATACCATTTTCCATCGGGGCTTTTGATCACACTTGGATCGTGTATCCCGCCGGTGCAGTTCCCTGTACAAGGTTCTGGATTCGGATAGGATCTTGTTTGACGCACGAAAAGTGGTGATGCTGCCACAAACGTTAAGGAAGCAAGGACGGAGAACAGTAGCGAGGAAGTGAGCATGATTCCGATGAGGGGGGGATGGCGGGATAGAGGGAGAGGAGGGATAGATAAAAAGTAGGGGAAGAAAGAACCGGAAAGAGACAACTATGGCTTGTAAGCGTGTGCATAAGAGGTGGTAGCGACACCAGGTCTTTATATTCTATTGCCTACTCTGGGTCATGATTCAGCTCCTCGGTTGACAACAATCATCTCTCCTACTATTGGAGACGGCATCGAGGAACGCTATCGTGGGCCCATCCATGGATAACTACCCGAGATGATTCGGGCACAGCCCTATGCTGCGGTGTTGTGCGCTTGGGGCTTACGCTGAAACATCAACGGCAACTAAGCCTTGGTAGCACCGCGGTCTGACTGGCGTCTGAAGCATTCTATTGGCGTGAGGACTTCCGTTCCTCGGATCTTCAGGGCGACTTTTGAAAACGCATTGTTCCGTCACTACTACCATGGGCCTGAGTACCGGATTAAGGGGGGTTCTAGATTAGATGTAAAGAAAAAGTGGGGAAGATGCTGGAAAATCAGGAGATGGAACAGGAGGCTTGGACGACTATTGGCTGGATCATGCTGGCATGTCATGCAAGACCATGGTGCGTGTTTGGACGTCGTTGGCCGTCGAGTGCAAGAAGCCCACCCGCCCTCCTTGGATTGTGCCTGTATCTACCCAGGTAGGGCTACGGCTGGGGGGCACGGTGTGGCGGTGTCGCATGACATGGGGCCGGAAAACCGGTTCGCGCTATCTTGAAGGCTTCAATACGTGCCAGAGCGGGCAAGATACTGCATAGAGATTACGGTGAGCAGCCTGAAGCATTGGTCTAAGAATAGAAGAGTGAGATCGGAAGTTGAAGGAATTACAAGGTAGATGATTCTACTAACCAGATTTGACAAGGTGAGTCGAATGGGGGGCCTTTTTCGCCCCATGTCCACGTGGCGGTGGCATCCCGGAAGCTCGTCATGAATGTTTCTTTTTACTCCCACTCCTTTAAAGCCAGCGCATTAGTGCAGCGATTGTTTGGATCCTGTCGGCATCAAATATTCAAAACGAAACGACGAACTTTGCCCGCCAAACCACGGCACTCAGCACTCGCTACCGTCATGGTAACAGAAATCTATCATGGGCATAAGAGGAGCGCGAGACACCGTCCTGTACATGGAAGTTCGATCTTTTGATTCTCGAATCAGCCTCGTAGCAGCTCAAGGTCTTCCCGCCTCGAGGATTGACCCATAAATCCTTCGCTTCTCACTCAAGCATGCCCACACCTCTCAGACTCAGATAAACATCTGTGCCCCATCCCCACATGCTCTGCACTGCAATACCCCCGCCGAAGTATTCTGCATACGCTCTGCCAAGCGGTAAGCCATAACCCAGCCCGGCAAGGCTGTTTACCCCGTCTCCGCCAGCCCCCGAAATTGCGTTGAGGGCGTCCATCCCGCTGCTAGATCGATTTCCACCAGAGATCGAGTTCGAGATCTGGTCCTCGTTGAACGTGGTGAAGCTATAATCCCAGATGTGCTCGTAATTTTCAGGAGAGATTCCGCCTCCTCTATCCCGAATCCGGATTGTGACTCCAGGCGTCGAGTGTGCCAGCGGGCGAATCGTTTCAGATAAGGTCGCAGACGCATTATCCGCCACGTCCTGACCCGTGAAGAATTTGGAGGCAACATCAACATTGCCTTGACCGGCGTTTGTAACGTGCGCGTGCTGGGTGTTTTCGTTCTCTTCGCAGACGGGGTCTTCCGGTAAGGGTGCGATAGTAACCTCGATGGGCTCGCGCTCCATGCCACGCTCGACGGTAGCGCGGAAGGCGTTCTTGAGGAGTTCTGTGATGATGTATTCAAGATGTACTGGCACATGTGCGAATGCGTACTCGGGCTCGCCGTTAATCGTCAAATGCGGACGGACACCGTACTTGAGCTCGCATAACTCAGAGACGGTAGCCTCGCAATGGCGAACGATGCTCGCCGGGCGGAGTTTGGTGTCAATGACGCCAATCCAGCTGGTGCTAGGACTCGAGGGATCATCGTGAGGTGAAAGCTCGCGATGTGGTTGCGAAGAGAAGTGCAACGCAATATGCTGCTCAGCGATCAGCCGCGTGCCAATTCGAGCGCGCAGGTGTTCGTCCAGAAATCGCGTCACTTCTCGCGGGCTGATGTATTTCCTAGCTTCTAAGAATCCCCGTGCCAGGATAGATATTGTGTTCGCGTGGGTCTGAACGAGATCCGCCATCACTTCCGTGAACTTGATCTCGTCCTCCAAAGTGGTAATTTCCTGTTCGGCCCATGGTAGTAGTGTCGATAGCGAATGGATATAATTGTTATGGATTTTATTGATTTGCGGGTTCGAGACGACTATGAATGGGAGGTTTCGGAGGGATTGGATGCGGTGGGCAAGGCGCGTGGGAAGGGTTGAGAGGGTGAAGTTGGCAGAGCTGAAGAGCGCCTGTGCGGAGAGGGGTGGGCGGCCATGCCTGTAGGCTTTAGTCAGTTTCCAAAGCTTCGAAAGGTCAAGAAGGGATCTTCCGTACTTAACTAGGTCTGCAAGAGTCAGTGGGTGTAGCGGTCTGGAGGCCAGACGCTTGATATCCTCATCCGTGACCGTTTTGGTACGGAGACCATGATGTTGATGCAACTGCCGGCGGGAAATGCCAGCGTTCCTTGTGCGAGTCTGGAGTGGGCAGTATTGTCTTATTAACTGCGACTGGATGACCAGAGGTCGTTGCACGATTGACATTGTCGCTTTCACATCTTCGTAAGGAGGAAGTTGGCTGCAAGCGCTGTGGCTTCGGCTTTGCGGTGTGAACAGCACGGTCACGTGAGATATGCTTTCTTATCCACTTGCAGATCTAACAAGTCGTCTGATCTTTGATAAAAAGTAAAGGTGTGGTGAAGTGTTGATCGTTGTATTCATTGAGCCTATATCCCTATTGGTTATAGTGCGAGGTGAACTCATCGAGTTTACCGATCATTTAAGTTGATAAGCCGTCGCCATTCACCTCATTGAAAATGTGTTGACGCAGCTATGACTGTGCACACATCTGTAGAGGCACTTTCGTTCTCATAAGACACTTTATTCAATAGTTCTAGAGTGGTATCTGATATTCTGCTGAATCGTTCAAGGCAACGATATATTACAAGTTCTTAAGGCAACAGAAGAGCTTCTAGAAGCATTGCATGCACACCATTGCCACGCACACCATCGTGTCCGAGTATAATATATAGAATCGAAGGTGGAGTTCAGGTGTGCTGGGCGGACAGCTGGGTATCTTTCTCTACTGGGTCTTGACTTCGGAGTCGGCCTCGACGGTGATGTGCTCGTTCGTCTCCAATGCACTGACACTGTCCGCTGGGAACTCGGCACTAAGATACATTAGTTACAGTGTCTATAATTGGGGAATTGATGCTTACGTGAATCCCTTGATCAGCTTGAACTCGTTGGTGATCTTTCCGCCCTTGTCGGTGACAGTCTTCTTAGCACTGTGAAGCGTTAGTCCATGAGCTATATATACGTGGAGTGCTGTGACTTACTTCTCGAGCTCAGATGCGTTCGCGCCCGACTTGAGGGTAACCTTTGAAGCGTTTAGCACTCTGGTAGTCTTTGAGATATGACCCAGCACTCACGTTGACGGTAGGCATTTTGAATGTTCGTTTAGGAAGAGCTGTGTGAGAAGGGTTTTCGGTCTTTATTGTATTGTGCAGTTTGGCTTCAAGGTCGTAGATTGATGAGCTGGATGGTGGAAGAGGATCAGGCTTTTGTATTCGGAGTGCTCCCTGGACTGCCCCTCTGCCCCTCCAACCAAGGCCCTTTCTCCCGCTCGATGACGTGCAAGGCGGCGTCAGCCGATGGCGTGCAGCCCGCCCTTAAGCGCGACATCCTTGCGTAGTAGCATTAGTCCAGCACCCTGTTCAGAGCGGCGGATGGAATAATCACTGTGTGGACCTCCGCCACGCAGAAGACGTCGAAAGATGGACCCTTTTGACGGTTGCACGCCTCCAGCCTCGCAGATCAAAAAGCGGGGTGAGATAACCTTAGATTATATCAACGCTAGACCCTATTTGACTTAGCGGCCGGTCAATTTTCCCGTCAATCCCCAAAAAAAATCAGCGAGCTTGAGCAGGTCGAAGCACAACGCCAATATGGACAACCAGGCAAACAGGGCGCATCGCAAGACAAAGGAGAAGAAGCCGCACTCGGGAGGTAAGTGATTTATTCATTCTGCCACTCAGAAATCTGACTGACCGTCAACAGGCCCAAACCCAAAAGCTTTCGCATACTCCGGCCCGGGTAGACTGCAAAAGCAGGCTGCCCGCTCCCACGATGTCAAGGAAAAGCGATTCCATGTGCCTCTGGTGGATAGGCTGCCGGAGGAGGCGCCGCCTATAATAGTAGTTGTAGTGGGGCCGCCTGGAGTTGGGAAGACGACCTTGATCAAATCTTTAATCCGCCGATACACCAAGCAAACCCTTTCCGCGCCCACCGGTCCTCTCACTGTTGTGACTTCGAAACGACGACGGTTGACATTTATAGAATGTCCCGCTGACTCTCTTGCCAGCATGGTCGACATTGCGAAGATTGTGGATATTGTGCTGCTCATGATTGATGGAAACTATGGATTCGAGATGGAGACAATGGAGTTCTTGAACGTGCTGTCGTCCAGTGGAATGCCGGGGAATGTGTTTGGAATCCTGACGCATCTGGACTTTTTCAAAAAGCAAGACACATTGAAGATGCAGAAGAAACGGCTAAAGCATCGGTTCTGGAGCGAGCTATACCAGGGCGCAAAGCTTTTCTACCTGTCTGGAGTTGTAAACGGACGCTATCCGGACCGGGAGATCCTCAACCTTTCACGATTCCTTTCGGTCATGAAGAATCCGCGTCCTCTGGTGTGGCGCAACGCTCATCCGTATTGCTTAGCAGACAGATTTCTAGACATCACACCGCCGACGGCCATAGAAGAGGACCCCAAGTGTGATAGGACCATTGCGCTATATGGGTATCTTCGAGGAACCAATTTTCCTGCTCAAGGGGCACGAGTCCATATTCCTGGAGTCGGCGATCTGAATGTTTCTTCGACCGAAGCATTGCCGGACCCTTGTCCAACTCCCTACCAGGACCAGGCTTTCGCAAAAGCCACAGGCAAGACGACGCGACGGCGCTTGGGCGAGAAGCAGAAGATTCTGTTCGCGCCCATGTCTGACGTGGGCGGCGTTCTTGTAGACAAGGATGCAGTTTACATCGATGTCAAAACATCGAATTTCAACCATAACGACGACTCGGATGAAGAGCGAGGTTTGGGCGAGCAACTAGTGGTTGGGCTGCAAGGTGGAAGGAGATTACTAGGAGAAGCGGACGCGGGAATGAGGCTCTTCAGTGGAGGGCAGGTCCTTGACAAAGATGCAGATGTAGATGACGGGAATACTGGCCGGAAGTCACGGCGGCATGCGAGAATTGTCGAAAGAGATGGGCACGACGATATAGACGAGGATGAAGGCTTCGAAAGTGGTAGCGATGACGAGCTTGATGCGGATATTGGCAGCGGTGATGAGGATGATACTGGCTACCTGGACACTGAAGGAGTCTCAGATGACCGCCTGGGACGGGCATTCAAGAAGCCAACAGACCAAAAACGTGTTAATGGAGCCGACGACGACGATGTAGCCTTTGCCGACAGCGACTCTGATCTGGGTTCAGTATCGTCTATGGAGGATCAAGAGCTAGACGACGATGATTCGGATATCTCAGGCGATGAAGATGATGATGGGGCTTTGCGGTGGAAAGAAAATCTTGCTGGGAACGCAAAAAGCTTTCACGGTCACAGGAAGCCTTACCGGACTACAGAACTTGTTCGCATGTTTTACAACGAGTCATTGTCTCCAGCGGAAGTGCTAAAACGGTGGAAAGGTGATACAGATGAAGTCCAAGAAGAAGAAGGTGGCGACGAGGACGACGATTTCTTCAAAAAAGCCCCCGGCGAGGACAAAGCAGCTGAATTAGAAGACCGCGCAATACCCGTGTATAATTACGATGAGCTGGAGCAAAAATGGACCGACGAAGACAACATCGAGGCGATTCGGAGACGATTCGCATCTTCAAACCTACTCGGAGAAAAAGAAAATGCCGAAGAGGGTGGTGATTTTGAGGGATCCAATGAAGATGATGAAGGCGATGGGGAGTTCGAGGATTTAGAGACTGGAGAATCTTTTGGAGCAACCAAGACAGCTGCGAGCGGTAATGATGAGGCCAAGAAGATCGAGGAAGAGCGAGAAAAGAATGCCCGAAGAAAAGAGGAACTAAAGCTTCGGTTTGAAGAGGAAGATCGGGAGGGTTTCACCAACGACAAAGCGAACGCTCGACGAGAACAGGGCCAAGAAGAGCAGGAATTCGGAGAGGACGACTGGTATGATGCTCAGAAGGCTCAAATCCAAAAGCAGCTGAGTATCAACCGGGCCGAATTTGACCAATTGGACGAGACATCACGGATACGCGTCGAGGGACATAAAGCTGGGACTTACGCGCGAATTGTGCTGGAACAAGTGCCGTACGAGTTTTCTGCGAACTTCAACCCCCGATATCCCATTATTGTGGGAGGCCTCACGCCAACTGAGGAGCGGTTTGGCTTTGTTCAAGTTCGTATCAAGCGTCACAGATGGCACAAGAAAATCCTCAAGACCAATGACCCCCTTATCTTTTCTCTTGGGTGGAGAAGATTTCAGACTCTGCCACTTTACAGCATCTCGGATTCACGGACACGCAATCGTATGCTCAAATACACGCCAGAGCACATGCATTGCTTCGGTACTTTCTACGGACCTTTGATTGCGCCAAACACCGGCTTCTGCTGTGTGCAGTCCCTTTCGAACAAGAATCCCGGGTTTAGAATTGCAGCCACTGGCGTTGTTCTGAACGTAGACGAAAGCACGGAAATTGTTAAGAAGCTCAAGCTCACCGGCCACCCCTACAAGATCTTCAAGAACACAGCGTTCATCAAAGACATGTTCCAAACAGCATTAGAAATTGCCAAGTTCGAGGGGGCCAGCATCCGTACCGTGTCAGGCATACGAGGTCAGATCAAGAGAGCGTTGAGCAAGCCAGAGGGCAACTTCCGTGCGACATTCGAGGACAAGGTTCTGATGAGTGATATTGTATTCCTACGGGCATGGTATCCTGTCAAGCCCCACCGATTCTACAACCCAGTCGTGAATCTGCTGGAAGCTCCAAGCGCCCAGGACGAGGGCGAAAGCACCGGATGGAAAGGTATGCGTCTCACCGGGCAAGTGCGAGCAGCAGAAGGGATACCAACGCCGCTGCAGAAGAACTCGGCATATCGACCCGTCGAACGAGAAGCCCGACATTTCAACCCTCTGAGGATTCCCAAGAAGCTCGCGGTGGAGCTGCCGTTCAAGTCGCAGCCCACGCAGATGAAGCCGCAGAAGAAGCAGACATACATGCAGAAGCGTGCAGTTGTGGCTACCAAGGACGAGAAGAAGGCGCGGACGCTCATGCATCAAGTCATGGCGCTCCGCAACGAGAAGCAGGAGAAGCGGAGGGCAGCGCAGGAGAAGAGGAGAGAACCGTATCGCCGGAAGGTGGCCGAGAACGACCAGAAGCGGGCGGAGCGCGAGAAGCGCGAGAAGGAGGAGTACTGGCGGCGGGAAGGGAAAAAGCGCAAGACTCAGGGGGACAGTGGTGGGGGAGGCAAGCGGAGAAAGTAGGTGTGCCGGACTGTTGGGCCTGTGGGAGCAATTCTAGACTATACCAAGAAGGTGGCCATACCATCTATTCAGCATTCACTTGATCTCTTCACTACATGGCATAGCAGTGAATGTCGATCCCAATATCGTGGCTGGGAAGACCCTGGCAGCGGAGCGAGATGGATAACGGCGCGTTGCAACGGCGGCTGGCTGCATGGTGGCGTCGCTGTCCTTGGTCCTTCACGACATCTGAGAGCAGCCGCGTTCCGTCCCATGGGTGGTGTTTTGCATGCGTCGCGGGGTTCGTGTTCCTTGTGCTGCAGATTCGATCAAAGGCAGGCATCAGAGGAGTGATGGATCGGCGCGATGTGTCCTGCCCGGCTGCATCAACGCATCTCGCGATACGTAGCCGTGTCCGCGATATGCATCTCGGCCCCGTCACGTCACGTCCATGCATGCTTTGTCGCGCCCGGCATTGCGCAATCAGCCTCGCCGGGACGGTTGCGAGCACAGTCGCGTCGCCCTGATGCATTGAGGAACCGGCGGGGAGCTGACGACTTCGGGCCGCCTGTTCTGGTCTCGCGACCGGTCGTCGAAGTCTCCATGTGACCACGCATGCTCTCCGCTTTATCGACGCCCAGAGTGCTGCTTTCATCCACCACGCGATTCCGCCCGCCGACGGCCCAGCATTGCCGCGCCTGCCCCGGTGTCTTTGAACGTGCCTCCGTCCAGCGCATCGCAGCACAGACTCAAGGACCCCGGACGAACGCGCCAAGATACCACCGCCCACGCGTCGTGGCCCGCCGCCGCCTCCAGCATCGCGAAGAAACTCCGTCTTCTGGGACACATCTCTGGCCTTTGCCCTCTGTCAACCCTGAATCTCTCTCGCTACCAGCCATCTGATGCAAGCAATTTCGCCCCAGGCAGTCGCTCCGCTGGAAACTGCCAGTCCTCGGCATGGGGTGATGAAGCCGGCCGAGTTCAGCATGAGTCCCGCACGCCCAACACGTCTGCCAGACGCCATCAATCCCCAGCATGCGTCCGCCATTCCGACAACCACGCGACGCGATGTCGTGCCGAACTCCCAGGAGTCGTTCGTCTCTGTTGCCTCGAGCGGCTTTGCTGCTGGCCCACGGTTACTGTCGTCCTGGAGCAATATCTCAAACTCCACCAGCGCCGAAACCGAACTCACCTCTCCAACATCTTCAAACGCGCCCTCCAGTCAGTCCCAGGGATTCGATTCCAGCCAGTCCGTGGCCGCCTCGCCGCCTCGACCGCGTGCGCAGCAGCAGTCACGTCCGATCGCCCCGCCACTAAATACCGATTTGCGCGAGAACAGCACTGGGAGTGGCAGTGCGACAGCGACAAGCCCAATGTCCATCGATACTCCTTTCTTGGCACCAGCGTCGAAGAGAACCGCCAGTGGAACAGTCAAGTCGGCCGGATCGAGCAGCACCGTGGAGAGTCCCATGCGCGCTCCAGTGCGCGGCGGGCACTCGAGAAATACAAGCACTGATTCCAATGTGAGCAGGATTGGCGAAGTACGTCCTTTTTAAACTTTCCGTCCCTGTGCATTGGCGTCGACGGCTAACCGCGTCTGCTGCAGTTATCCGCCCAACTCAAGACTCGTTTGTCTTATGCCATGGTGAAGGTGCAGAATGGATGGGAGAAACGTACGATTGATGAGCTCGAGGAACTTCCTTCGCAACGAGGCTCACCTATTGGGCTATCGGGAAGGCGATCACTTGATTCCCCTAGGTTTGCAGAGCGTCGTCGAAGACCGAGCGGTGTTTCCGAGACGTTAGATCAGTACATGGCCTCGCCTAGCCAGGCTAGTCCTAATGGAATCTCACGATCCCTCAACGGGACGCCACCTTGTACGTGATATTTCTTAATAATGTTACTACAAGCTTGCTGACTTTTAGTGCAGCTAGTTGGCGGCCGGGATCTTCCCAACCTCTTCCACAAACACGTCTAATGTATACGGAGGGGAACGCTTCTAACGCACCCGCCTTAGCACCAGCAGCAGACATTGTTTCTCGCCGTAATCGTCGTTCTAATTCTACTCATGTGCCACCAATGCTCTCTACCCAGCGGAAATACTACAGCGATGTTGGTGCGCCAAGCACCCCGACCACGATCCCTCGAGCAGGGATCCTCCGTATGCCTAGTCAACAGGCCGAAAAAGACGCGGTGGACACCCTACTCTTCATGAGCAGTCCGAACAACTCCAATCGCCTTGCTCACACAAGTGCTGACGCGCAGCCGAGTCCTCTCAGGAGTGAATTCTCGGCCGCGAAACGTGTCGTTTTCGAGAATCGCAATGGGAGCAGCAGCAGCGAGCCGGACGACGTGAGGGCTATGGCCAACGGATCTCACGACGCGATCCAAAAGATGCGATTCGACGCGGGCTACTCTCACAGCTCGCATTTAGGGGAGAGCGATGATGAGATACCATTACAGGCACCGAATAAGCGGTAACCCCAAAGTGCTCTTTAAGTTCGCGTGGGAGTGGAGTTCTCGCTGTCTTTTTTCTTTCACGTCGAAACTTGCTCCAGCCTCTCAGCCTTCTGGACTAGATCGAATCAAATTCTAGGACCTTCGATCGGCTCGTCTGGATCATCGCGTTCCGGAGCCAGCCATAGCACTCGGAGTGTAGGCTGGGAGTCAGCAACCGCATCCGTGCGATGGACTGCATCGGCGAGAGAAAGGCCAAACAACAACATCGCATAAGTCGGCGTCCAGGTCGTGCCCTCCCTCTCATAACAAAATGCACCTCAACGCACATTGCATCATGACCTTTTCCATGTTTCTCTCGTTATTTTGACTCCTTATTGCATCACGGCCCATCATGACGGCGTTGCACAGTTGCTTTCTTCTGTACATATGTAGATGTGCTTGACTAAGGGGAAGCTTGGCCGTCTGGATCAGCCTCTTGGGCGTAGATGGATGACAGACGGACAAACACGCACGAGTTGATGCCAGAGATGTAGCTACGGTCGCATGGCTTTAACGATTAATGGATCGCATTTTCATCCTTCCTCTTGCTTGCCTACTCGAGTCTGTGATGTATTTATGTACATATATAATCGTATAACCATGTTTTAAGGGACCAGACGACACTTACCATTCAGGTACCTTGAATTCAACCAGTATTTCAACACACCGAGTTTACTCCGAGTAATACAGGGATACAAGGGTTCAAGTTCAAAGAGGTCATCCGAGGCGGAACGGAGCGGCCTTAGACTAAAGCTCCCCGCGCCATTGGAGGATAACCGGGCGTGGAATAACAGCCGCGTTCGTGAACCTGGACCTCTATCCTTCAATTCTTTCCCTCTCCACTCTTCTGGAGCTCGTTGATGGTGCAAGAAACTCTCTTTACATTTTCTTCTCTCTCTTCATATTACGCGTCGTGGTCTCTTGTTGGACTCGTCTTTGCGCTTGTATTTTCCTGAGAGGTTCGTGGAGCTGTGCTGTGGTGGGGTGATCTGAAAACAGAGAGAAGCTTCAATTGAACCCACGATGTCTGCTTCTGCGCTGCTGAAGAGCCGGGTGAGGCGGCCGAGCTATTTGAACAAGATTGCGAAGGCGGAGGATCTAATCCATCATTTTCCGAATGGCGCGTATGTGGGCTGGAGTGGGTGAGTGTCGGAGCTCCGAAGGGAGCCGGTGAAACTTCTACATCTAATGAGTCTGGGCTTACTGTGCTGTTTGAAGGTTTACTGGAGTTGGATACCCCAAGGTTAGTCAATCACAAGCTTCTGTGGTTTCTAGAGAACTTCAAGCTGGAACTACGGTCTCACATTGCGTACATATACTAACCCACTCCCCAGATGATCCCCAACGCCCTCGCCACCCACGTCGAAAAGAACAATCTCCAAGGCCAACTGAAATACAACCTCTTCGTGGGTGCCTCTTCCGGCGCCGAAACCGAGAATCGCTGGGCACGGAACAACATGATTGAGCGGCGGTCCCCTCACCAAGTCGGAAAAGAAATCGCGAAAGGCATCAATAACGGCAATATCAAGTTCTTTGATAAGCATCTCAGCATGTTTCCGGTCGATCTGATGTATGGGTTCTATACGATGCACAAGCCAAATCAGAGGCTAGATGTCACGATCGTGGAGGCGAGTGCAATTACGGAAGACGGCGGGATTATTCCGGGCGCGAGTGTGGGAGCGAGTCCGGAGCTGATTCAGATGGCGGATAAGGTGGGTGGGATTGAAGAAATTCTGAGTGGGAAATTGGCTGATGAGGTGTGCAGATTATCATTGAAGTGAATACAGCTGCGCCCTCCTTCGAAGGCTTACACGACATCACGATGACGGATCTGCCACCACGCCGGAAACCGTATTTGGTAAGTACAACCTCTATGTACTAAAGACAGGACTGATCATTGTGCTTTCAGATCATGGCACCCGAGGATCGCATCGGCACACCGCATATCCCACTCGATCCGGAACGCGTCGTTGCAATCGTAGAATCAAACTATCCAGATCAGACTCAGCCAAACGCCCCCGAGGACGAAACATCGCGAGCAATTGCTTCGAATCTGATTGAGTTCTTGAAACATGAGGTCAAGCATGGAAGACTACCTGAGAATCTTCTCCCTATCCAGTCGGGCATCGGAAACATAGCCAACGCGGTCGTCGGCGGTCTTGCGGTAAGTCAATATGCCGCATACTCGTCTTAAACGTAGCTGCCGAGAAACTGACAGACAACTTCCAGTCCGGCGGTGCCAACTTCAAGAATCTGAAAGTCTGGACTGAAGTCCTCCAAGATTCGTTCCTAGATCTTTTTGACAGCGGTAACCTCGATTTTGCGACTGCAACAAGTATCCGATTCTCGCCAGACGGTTTCGAGCGTTTCTACAAAGGCTGGAAAGACTATGCCCCAAAGCTGCTGCTTCGGTCTCAGCAAGTTTCTAACTCCCCCGAGATTATCCGTCGCCTGGGAGTCATCGGAATGAACACAGTACGCCTATCCCCTATCACCAATTGTGAGATCTGCTAACAAGTCTAAAGCCAGTCGAAGTCGACATCTACGCGCACGCAAACAGCACCTGTGTCATGGGCTCCCGAATGCTGAATGGACTCGGCGGCTCCGCTGACTTCTTACGGTCCTCAAAATACTCGATCATGCACACCCCTTCTACGCGCCCAACCAAGACCGACCCCACCGGCCTTTCTTGCATCGTACCCATGTGTACGCATGTAGACCAAACCGAACACGATCTCGACGTTGTCGTAACCGAGCAAGGCCTCGCCGATGTCAGGGGTCTCTCACCACGAGAGCGTGCTCGAGTCATCATCAATAAGTGCGCTCATCCCGATTACAAGCCGATTCTCCTGGACTACTTCGAGAAGGCTGAGTTCGAGTGCCTGAGGAAGGGATGGGGTCATGAGCCGCATCTTCTGTGGAACGCGTTTGACATGCACAAGCACCTCAACGATCATGGAACTATGAAGCTGCCGCATTGGGATGATAGGAGTATCAGCAAGGCGAAGCTATAAAGGTTGAGTTGTTTCTCTTGTAGCACGGATTCTTGGGTAGATTCGCAGATAGATGTATAGATAGGTAGGGAACGCTTATCTTTCAACCTCTGAGCTCAGCGCCCCCACCCGTAAATAATGAGCTAACTGCCAAGTCTTCAATCGATTCAATTAATTTCAGCGAAGCAATCGGTCGATTGAACAGCTCTGCTTCTATCGTCACACTCCATCACGAGAGGGAGAACTCATCTACATCCAGAGCCCAAAACTCCCAATCTCTATCCATGTGGTAGCATTATATAGTATAGAAATTTCTCATCCGATCGTAACGTAAAAGGCCCTTTGCTAACTAGATTCCCTGACGCCCAATAGATCTTGTATGGCTCTCTAATGGAAACGGTTGGCAATATGGGGAGGCACTTAGAGATAACATGGCAATGCTGCGCGTACGCACTAAATTGTATACAGTATTTATAGAGTCTTGGAGCGAAGATGATGATGAATATGAATGCAGTTTGATGTAAAACAACAAGTGGATCATTAGCCCCTGGTCGCTCGGAGAGCGGATACTATGCCACATATCTCGATACCACCCTGCCACTTTATTACATGCTTTCACACTAAACCACAATCTTTCGTCTACGATAACGAAGAACTCCATCTACTCCCTCGATTACGGCCCATCACAAAAAGATCCCGTCGGGCTATCCTCTCCGACTTACGTCCAGCTTAAGATCTTAGCGCGCACTCTGTTTGTCAAACGTCAAGGGATCGTCAGCTCAGCCTCACCCCAGGAACTTATTATAGTAGAGTAACCATGCAGACAAGCGCATTCGCACTGAAACACGGCAATTGTGGAAATGCCATTACGGAATCAGACGAGGCGTAAGAGGGTTGGATAGTGTTCAAGACGAATTTTGGACGACGGAGGCGCCAGAACTCCAGCACAGCAGTGGCATCAATGTCTTGACCTTCTCATCATTATAGGTACTTTTTGCGCGTTCATCTACTCAATCACCTACTTAGATAGAGGGCTCTAAGATAGGTCTATCTTCTCGCTCTTTAGGGCAACGCTCAAGTAAGCATCTTACTACCGAGTCGCCGTCTCGTGAATGCAGCGAACGAGGCTATGCTCTCGCGTTCTGCCTTGCCGATCAACCTCGCACAACCAATCCCAATAGGAGTATATGAATCCTTCGGGCAGTGCTTCTTCTCCTAGAACGGCCCGGTCCACTTCATCGCTCCTCTTATTGGACTTCTACAGCCCAAACATTCCTTCATACGGTTTGTATATCGTAAAATCCTTGCAATGTTAGGGAACGCCAGCAGTCATCGTTACTGTGCCTCTTTTAGCTTCAAGGATTCCGGGCAAGTATGGGGAGTGCTGACATGCTTATACCATAACATGGCCGGTCGCTTCAATCCTTTTGGCGTTTCTTCCATCCTTCCCCGCATGTTGCTGCCATGATGGATTTGCTTTCGATACTCCGTGGCGCATCTTTGGTTTCCCTATTCGCCCTCACTTTGGCTCAGAACACACCCAATCCTCTAGGTACTACTTCCATACTATCCAACGCTTCCCCTTACTCTGTGTACGCTTCATTGCCACCGCTTGCTGCGTCCCAAGGTATTCTCGGACATCTTGACGACTCGAAGTTCTATCATCTCGAATAGTCCTATGAACTTGGCAAACCCACTACGCTGACACCAGCGAGTCTACTTCCATACTGTCTACTCAGATTCCTTATTCTAACTTTCCGTTGGCTCAACTCGTTTCTTCTTGATGAGAGACTACGTACGCTATAATGCGTCGTCATAGGTCTGTAAACACTATCTTGCCACTGCCAACGGCCCTGCATCACACTTGCGAAAATCTTAACGAGACCACGAGTCACTCCTTTACGCAACCTATAAACCTGCTCGGCCACTATTCAGAGTAGACAATGTCTCCAGATATCTGAGACGAATCGAGGCACTATATACAGTGGCAGAGAAGCGTAGATAATCTTATGACGAGGCACATCGTCGTAGAGTTCTGTACCCTCCTCTGTTACCGCTTGGAGTGCCTTGATATGTTCTCAAAAACTGGAGCATCCGATCACTGCTGGTCTGTGGATACCTATCCTCTGCTCGCTGAGGTGGCCTAGCAATTTTACCGATTGTCCAAGGTGACGACGTTCTATCTCGTCTTGGTATTCGAAAACGTGATGGGGGGGCTTCACGCAGTGGTGGATAAGTTTATGCAGATCTACGGCGAGGCTTTATAGAACTTTCAAGCAATACAAGATCTAACATCGTCTATGCAGAATGCACGATCCCAAACACTCCTGGCAATTCTAGCTATTCGATCTCAAGCTCGACCGATTTGAACAAGTTTTCAGGATGCACGACTATAACCGGAACCATTTCTGTCGACCCGGGCTTCGACAGCGACGTGCTCGACTTCGACGAGGCCCTCGACACTGTAGATGGAGACTTTATTGTTGCAAACGTTACTCGTCTTCAGCGAATCAATGCTCCGAAGCTTCACAACATTACCGGTGGTCTCAACATAACCAGCAATGCGAACCTGACAAACACGACCCTCCCTGTATGGATTCTAGGAGGAAACCTGACGATTTGGGGAAACAACAAGCTGGGCTTCCTCGAGGTGCCTATCAACGGTGACTTTCTCCATGATATTAGCCTTGGCGATGCAGCCTTTGACCTGCCGGGTATTCGCTCAATCACGGGAGACTTGAACTTGACTCGGATCCAGGATGAATTCACGGTCAGCTCGCTCGTTAATGTGGGGGGCGGCGTGTATGTTGAAGCCACTACCATCAAAATCTTTACCGCCAAAAAGCTACTGGGCATCGACAAGGATTTCAGGCTTGACAGGAATGGGAACCTCACGATCCTTACACTCCCTTTACTACAATACATTGGCGGTACGCTCGAAGTATGGGGAGCGAACATCACACACTTCACCGCGCCGAACCTTATGGCAATTGGAGAGGGCGTGGACTTCTCCTCCAATGAAAAGCTCCAAACGATTGAGTTCGCGGGCCTTGAACGCATCGGCTCCTTATGTTGCGGTATTCAGAGCTACGATCTGGAAGATAGAAATGCTTCTGGATATCACGCCGTGAACTTCTGGGGCAATGCGGTTCTCAACAACATCTCGATGCCAGAGCTTAAGAGCATTGGGGCAGATTGGGACCCCGAGGTATTACCTTGGTGGAATCTGAACGCAACTTTGAATCCCGGTGAGTTCTATCTATCTCAAATATCTTATCATAAATCTGTATGCACATGTCTACCACTGGTTGAGGTTGCTGAAGTCATCTTTGAATATCTGATGTTCATGAAGTTTGGACAATCAGTAACCTTGCTGGGCTTCTTCAAACAGTGGCAGAACACTGTATACACATAGATGACGCGGCATTTTATCAATCAGACTATGCTAACGCATGACAGAACTTCATAACTTTGATGGCCTACCGAGCCTGCAGACCATCAACGGCAGCATGTACATAAATGGGAGCTTCTCGTCTATCAAAATGCCCTCTTTGTTCAACATTAGCCACTCGGTCGTGATCAATTCAACTGAGTTTCTTGACGGGGACTGCAGCGTCATCGAAGCCACCCACCATATCAATGGTGATTTCAACTGCGACGATAATCCTAACTACGGCTGGCACCCTGGGTCAGATTTAGGATCTAATGGAGGCCTTAGCAAAGGGACAAAGGCAGGAATAGGTGTCGGCGTGGCCATCGGCGGTAGTGAGTAACCCTTCGATGCCTCTCCCTCTCCTCAATTGATTATCAGCTAACACAGCTCTCACCTCTAGCCTTACTCATCTCCGGTATCATATTCGCGTTCATGAGATGGAGACGGAGACGGCGCGCTGCGCGAGTCAAGGTCCTGCAAGAAGACGGCTACTCGATGCCCGAGCTGCCCAGAGCCACCAACGCATACCCAGCACTTCAACCGCTGCAGCAGGCATCGCCGCTCGCTGCCGAATCTTCCCAGCAGCATCTTGCCGGCGCAGGGTATCGCGAGGTCAACTCTCCACATTCATCGCCTATTCGAGACGTCTCGAGGGAGTTGGATAGAGAACTGAGCCAAGGATCGAAAGGCGGAGGGCACATGGGAGACATCAGCCCGCCCACCTCACCACGAGGCCGAGGGATCGGGGCGGGAGAAGGGAGCAGCAGCTGGCGCGACGTCAGTCCGCCTCCACCGGACTACGAGGCGGCCACGAACGGCCCACGCTAAAGGAGCTGACTATGGTAAATACCAAAGAAAGGACAAGAGCCACGAACCTGAATGCATTCCCGTCACTGATTACTGAACCCGTTTCCCAGCAATTGATTGAACGTGCTCATGTGCGAATGACGGAAGCCTAGACTGACTCCGGTGTTCCAGTGTGCTTGCTTGTAGGGCTGCATGCCCCCCACCCCCTCCCTTCCACCGTGCCACCGCATTCAAGCCCCGTTACACACAACGGCCGCGTCTCGACCTCCTCACCGCCAGCCTCCTGCCTGTACTACCCGCCGTGAGGACGCGTGCCTTATCTCCGAATGTGCGAGGAGCTACGGGGACGATGCGGGTGCTGGTGTTTTCTTTATGCCCGTGGCAACGTGGTCCCGGTCCGGACGGAGTGCACGTTCCAGCCACGGTTCGTCGCGAGCTTGTTCTCACGTCACCGGTATATTGAGAGGTCTTGAAGAATCCCCGGGAGGCGTTTTGCTTGAATGGGAAGGGGGAGCCGGTTGGGAAGCGCATGTCGTACGGGGGAGGCTCTGCAACGGCGAGGCCGAATCTGGGCGGTAGTGAGATGGCATGGGGGGAGGTGTGGCTCACCGCAACGATTAAAGGTCCGGATGCGGATAGCTGAGTATTGGAGAATGTTTGGATGGATAGTGGTCTCTTTTTCCAGCACGTAATTCAGATTTTGAAAGCAGAGGGTCGAGGAGCATTTCGATTAAACCCTCCGTCCTCTACCTAACATCTTCACAACATCTTCATACCACCCCCTCGACTCTCCCTTTCCCGATTACTCTCATCCAAGCCCTCAACCTCCTTCCCTCGCCCACCAACGTGCACCGCGAACCGGTGAAGCCCTCGCAACAGAGCCACCGACGTCGCACAACCCCATCACACAACATCCCGTGTCCCTCTAACCCTCCCTATCCCCCACCGCCCCACCTATCAAACCCCCTTCTCCCCTTCCACAAGGTCAATAGCCCACAGCCCTCCCCCGCCACTCCCCCTCCGCTGAATGGGCGCGCCTCCCGCTCCCACGCTTGTCCGCTGACAAGGCGGTGTCGTCGCGCCCCAGCTGATAACCCGCATGTCTCAACCCGCACCACGCCCCCTCTGCACTTTCGAAAGGCAGCGGTGGCGGTCGCCAACCACGGGCGCGGCGGGTTGCAAGTACGGATTGTCGCGTGCAGTGATAGGTGCGAGCCCGGCGGGTTGTTTCTGAGCATGCTCGGTCCTTATTGCAGCTGCGTGTGGTGGTTCGATAGCATACCCTGATCAGCGTCATGGTTGCTATTCTTGGGGGTGGGCCATTTGCCCGGCTCGGGGCGGATATATAGGGCGGAAGGATTATGGTGTTTGCCGCGAGGGCGCTGGTATTGGTCTGGTTATATTGTTCTTCAACCAGAGAGGGGACGAGGGTTTTTTGCTTCTTTTACAAGAGCCTACTTTTGCTCTGCAAGCAGACTTTGTTTTTTTTATCAGTGTTCATGGCGAGACAACCGAGGAAGTGGACGACGGCGGAGGATCAGGTCCTCAAGGCGGAGGTGTCGATGCAGTGTATGTTGGTCTTGCGGATATAATGACCCCCTTTCTGGGCTTGGCTGTTCTGACGTTTCGACGTAGTGATAACTGGAGAAGTCAAAGACTGGTGTCGGTATGTCGAAGAGGGCTCAATAGGAGACAAGCCGGAACTAAATTCTATCAGCATCGCTTCAAGCCTGCCGGGAAGAACAAACAAAGACTGCCGAAAACGCTGGCATAATGCTGTCGCCGGGGGTCTGAAGAAAGGCCAATGGGCAAAGTCAGAGGATGTCCTTCTTACTACAGGAGTCGAACGACATGGCCAACGGTAAGCAAGCTCTAATTTTCGTCTTGAAGGACAAGAAACTGACGGCTAGAGTAGTTGGACCTTGGTTGCAGAGATCGTTGGTTCGAGAAGTGCAGATCGTAAGCTTAACCTCTCCTACCGCCGAAGAGATTCAGCGTTAATGGTAGTTAGAATGCGCCAAGAGGTGGCAACAGTCCTTGAATCCAGAACTCGACCTGAGTGAGTGGAAGGCAGAAGAGGTAACCCCATCTGATCAACGTCTCAATTCTTCGAACTTCAGCTCATCCCGTGGTAATCTAGGACGAACTGCTTCTGAAAGCAGTCGAGCGATACGGGCGCCACTGGAAGGAAATCCAACACGCGCATTTCGCCAGCCGGTCCAAAAACTGTATCAAGAATCGCTGGACGGTGCTACTCCGACGCTCTCAACACCAAGGACTAGAGCTGTTCAGCAGGGACAGAGGATCTCTGCACTTTGATAGCCTTGAAAAAGATCTGGAGGACGAGAGCATTGATAGCGATGGGATGGATGACGACTCTGGGGTCAGTGTCAGCTTTGGTCGCTCTCCCAGAACACCAAGTTTTGATCACTGCTCCTCCTTGGTCGCTGACGACTCATCTTCCATGAGCTGGACGCCTTCAGAGTCAGTCTGTGCGTCAACAAACGGCTCCGACCTTGGCAACCTTACTTCCATATCGGTAGACAACAACTTCGAACAGATCGATTTCGCCGCCGCCACCAGTTGGCCCTGGCAAGAGAGCATGGCGGATCCATCTCTGTATTCTGGTGTCGGCACTGTAGGTGGATACGCCCAGCCCGGATTCGACTCGTTCGACTCGTCACAGTCAGCATATTCTGCAACAGTCTTTCCCGGGAGATTGCCGTACAACAGCTCACCATCGATGAGTAACTATCCATCTGGATTAATCACCAACGGCAATAGCACTTACGCTTGTTCGTCGCCGGTCCAGGATAGTCAGAGCGCCGTTGAAGTTACGCTAAGATTCAACAAACCCGATACAGCAATGATGAATAACTTGATGAACCTTGTTCGGGTTGAAAGAGATGTGTAGAGTGGGATGGAGAATAGGTCACAATAAACAGAGAAGGGGAGATTGTAAGTAGCTGTTGATTTTGTCATGAATAAAATGACTAGACTCTGGCTTCAAAGCCGATCATCTATGTGGCAACTGATTTTCGGTTGCCTTACAATAGTGTGGTATCATACCCATAAGCAGAGTTACCTGAAGAGGAACGTCCGATTTTTCTCATCCAATCCAGACGGATAATGGAATAGAGCAAGCCAAAGGAAATGATGCATATTCCCACCCGTGTGAAGCCTCGTGACTCATTCACGCCGTTAAAATGATACCGCCCGATGCAGAAAGATGAAATCAAACCCAAATGCCTGTGCAGTTCCGTTGAAATAGAAAACAAAGGAAACACCATGTTGCTAATCTGTCTCTCTATCTCACCTAGGCTTCAGCAGAAACCTCGGTCTTGGCTTTCTTCTCCTTGGGAGACTGCGCCTCCGGGGCATCGTCATCCCGAGAGCGCTTCTTGCTTGCGGTGGCAGCGGCATCGGCTCCTGCATCGGCCTTCTTCTCTGGGGCTGGAGAAGCTTTCTTTCCAGCGGAATTGGGAGCGGAGTCGGTTGGTTTAGAGACAGGAGGAGTGAGGACCTGGACGATCGGAATGCCCCTAGGACCTTGGTTAGTTTGTACTTGACGAGGCAAGATGCTGCAAGACTTACTGGGCGTCGAGTTTTGGTCCACGTGGAGATCTAGATCTGTCCCTCCGTCCATTGCGTCCGTTACGGCCGTCTCTATTATCACGGCCACCACGCCTATCGCCATCACGACCACCACGTCGGTCGCCACCACGCCCGCGACCACGGCCACCACGACCGCCCCGACCACGAAACTCGTCGCTACGTTGGAAATCTTTGCGGCCGCTCTTCCAGTCACCGTCATTATGCTTCTTGTAGTATGCCGGCTTGTTCACGTTGGCCTGAACACGGCCCTCGTCGATGTCCTTGAGCTTGGCGAGGCAGTAATCCTTCTTCGTCATGATCTTGAGATCCTGCCCGTTCCACTTAGGCTTAGTCTCGAGTGCAAGGAATGTCTGCATCAACGACTCATCCGCGAATTCGACGAAAACGCTGCCTTTGAAGACCTTGTCGCTGGCACGACGAAGACGAACGGCCTTGATAGGTCCGAATGGCTCAAACAGCGCCTCGATGTCAAATTGCGTCTTGGGGCCTTCTTCGCCGAAACCCTTAGCGTAGATGCTGCGGGGCTGGGCAACATCATTTTCCGCCATGAGCTGGGCACGAGGATCGAGGTCGTAGGAAGCTGTGATAGCGATCGGGACCTTGCGCTTGACTTCATGAGTGTTGACCACCTCAAGGATTTCGCTGTCTTCGAGGGCGGCCACGACAGCAGAGAAGGGCTTGAAGCGCTGCATGCGCTTGAACGATGCAATTATACTGATAGGAACGGGCTTGTTCTGGGGTCCGCCGACCAGCTGGTAGAGATACTTATCTCCCGGGAGGTTTGAATCACTGAAATAGAACTCCGCCTGAGTGAGTTAGCATAAGGTCAACTGTAGCAGCGGTGCAGTCACTGACCTGCTTGCGGATTTCGTCGGGGTCCTTGGACTCTGGAAGGTCCTCAAACTTGGTCTTGACGTTGTTGTTGTGTCGATTGTATGGCCTGTTGTCTCGCTTGCCATTGTATTCCCTCTTTCCGTTGGAATTGTTGTCGCCATTGGACTTTTCGCTCTTAGGCTTGTCTTGTTCGCTCTTGGCCTTCTCTTCTTCGACCTTGGGCTTCTCTGCTTCGTTCTTCTTCTCAGAGGCGGAATCAGGGGAGGGCAGCTTGGCCTCAGCTGGCGCAGACGTCTGTTCGGTGGTGGGAGCAGCGACCGACTCGGTAGTCTTCACCTGCTCTTCCTGGGAAGGGGCAGCAGCTGCCGCAGTGGCGGTGTCGTCAGACATGGCGTTATGGAAGCTGTGTGGTACTTTTGGATGGACTTTGCGATGGCAGCAGGACGAATTTTAGAGGAAAAAGCAGATTGAAAATTCGTGCAGCGAGGTTGCGAAGTGAGGAAGTGAAGCGGATGGAGCTTTGGTGGGGAGAAGCGCAGCTCAATTGACCTCAGAAATTTGCGCCGGGCGCTAGCAGGGGTAGCACTGGCCATATGCGCCGGCGAAAAGAATCCCCAGCACCGATAAACCGCACGTGATCATCACGGCTGGAGACTTTTCGGGCAGACATCGAGCATCTATCCACGCCATTCCCCCCATCCCAATTGCCCCTGCCGCCGCTCTCAACCATGCGGTCGAGGAGGTTCCATGGTCTGAAGAAGATTGTGAGCTCCCCCAGCTTCCCGCGGCCCCCGCCAAATTGACACGACTGACCCTTTTCCCTCGCAGAAAGTCCGCCAGGACTGGAGTCGGTGGACCCTATATAATCTTTCACGCCTTCGCGAAGCCACATCCACCGCAACCCGCGGCACCTACTTCCAGCAGAAATGGAAAGCCAAGTCCATCACGCGCGCATACCACGGCGAGCAGGTCCGCGAGAAGCAATGGGAGCGCATGTTCCGCCGCAACATCCCGGCCGTCGTGCCCATGGACCACAAGTACCTAGCCCAGAAAGACGGCTCTGAGCAAGCTGAAGGAAGAGGCTCCGGTGCGGACCAGGAGAGGGCACAGAAGGCGCGGCCGGCAACCCCATACATGCAGATGACATACTACCCGCTAGAGAGACGGCTCGACATGGCTGTATGGAGGTCGTTATTTGCAAGCAGTGCGCGGCAGGCTAGACAATTCGTTGTGCATGGCTACGTCAAGGTCAATGGAAAGAGGGTGTGTCTCAAGTGCTGTCGATAGGAGTCCAGGAATACCGTTTACTGACCATCTCCCTAGATGATCTACCCAGGCTACCAACTAAACCCCGGGGACATGTTCCAAGTCGAGCCCGAACGCGTTCTTTTCGCCACAGGTGCCTCGAAGGTCGGGAGTAACCGCCGCCGCCGCGAAATCCGCAAGTGGAAGGCCGCCAATGCCACAGGTCCCAAGCCGACCAAAGTGAGCAAAGCCGCCAAGGCCGGCCCAGTCAGTCTCCAGGGCGAATACACCCAAGCCGACGTCACAAAAGCGCCAGACACAAGCCCCGAAGCGCTGAGGAAGCGCCTACAGGCCCTGATGGCCAAGACAAAACAAGTCCTGGAGGCTAAGGAGGGCCTCCCCACGAAACTCAAGAGGAACCTGCGACAATTCCGCAAAGAAGTCAAGCGAGCCATCTCTCTCCACAAAAGCGCTACGGATCTGTCGACCGAGACCCTTGAGGGCCAGCTTGAACTCATTAAAAAGGAGTACGAGCCTGTTGCTGAAACCACCGGAGAGGACTTGAGCCTCGTTCAATCAGTATTCGAATTCGCGGAAGAAAGGACCATGCGTAGCTCGGCTTGGAATGAAGAGGATGGGAGAAAGCCTTATGCTACCCCCTGGCGGCCAAGACCATACATGTCCGCATTTGCCTTCATTCCACGGTATCTAGAAGTCAACCAGAATATTTGCGCGGCAGTGTATCTGAGGCATCCTGTCGCGAGGCCTGGATTCTCAGAAGTGCCATCCCCTTTCTCGGTGGATACGAACCAGCTCGCATTCAATTGGTATCTCAAGAGGAGGTAGAAGGCGAGGCGTGTATATGGGCGAGCTGGGCTTGTAAAATAGGAATCAGTGTACAATTGTAGGAAAAGCTACCTATTAGTTGGGCTCAGGGGCAAGCATTGTATAAATATACTCACAATCATCTGAAACTCTTGTCAACCAAACTTATGCATAGAGCTCTAAGGCCATCATTTGATCAAAGATTACCTAACCTCTAGCTAAGGCTCTCTTGCAAATCGGCAAAAAAATCTCCCCCTAGCATGCAGAGGTCGGAAGAATGCCCCCACTCCCGTTCCAGGCCACTTTGCCCGCCACTAATCTCCATATGCCACCCGCCGTAGCATTCAGTGGTAATGAAAATACCCCAACTGCCTACTGTCAGTAGTCTCCATGTACTACCAACTAAATCCCACCATCCTCCACCACCCGCACACCTCCCTCCGCACCCGCCTCCGCATCCGCCGCCTCCTTCCCCTTCATCAGCAGCCTTCCCATCGCCTCCTCAAATTCGAACATGGTGTCGCCGCCCGTCTGCTTCACTAACCACGGCCGATAGCCGCTCTCGAGCTCCGTGTACCTACCCTCACGCGAGTAAATCACCTGGCCCTTGCGCGTGCCATCAGCCATGCAAAGCGCCGCCGAGAGGGCAACGGCCTTGGAATTCTGCACTGGGACGCCGAGCAAGTGGAAGTCCACGCCGCGAACGAGACTGGTGTCGGTCCAGTCTGGGGCGAGACAGTTGATGCGGATGTTGAGGGTAGGCGGGAGGTGTGCCGTGACGCTGCGGGTGAGGCCGAGGACGCCGTGCTTGGCAGTGCAGTAGTCTACGACGCTGAAGCCTTGGTAGCCTGCGGGGATTGGGTTAGTGGTGAAATTTTCTATGAAGGGGGGAGGGGAAAGGAGAGGTGGTGTTGGGCGTACTAGAGGCTGAGCCGGTGACGACGATGCTGCCGCCCTTGGGGTTCTTCTTGAGGTAGAAGACACCCAGGCGTGTGGTGTACATGCAGCCGATCAAGTTGACGTTGTAGGTGATGAGGTCTGGGGCTTTGAGGTTGCCGTCGTCGTCGAGTTCATCATCGAGAAGGCTGGTGGTTTTGGCGACGCCTGCAGGAGAATAGTGCGTGAGCAGCAACCTCACACAGGTAGACGCAGAATGATTGGATAGCGAAAGCGTACCTGCATTGGCGAAGACATGGTTGATGACGCCGTGTACCTCCAAGGCCCTCTTGAACAGGGCGCTCTGCTCGGCGAAGGACGCCACATCCGTCTTGAGGAACGTGACGTGGGCGGCTTCGGGTTCGGGCGGGGGGTTGATGTCTCCGACGACCACTTTAGCTCCGAGTTTGAGGAGAAGCTGGACGGTTGCGAGGCCGATTCCGGAAGATCCACCTGTGGTGTAGCGTGGCTGTGAGCGAGGCCGACCTCGAATGGGGCGAGCCAGGGATTGGGCTTACCGGTGATAACAACGACCTGGTTCTTCAGGCTGTCAAGGTCACTCTCTTTGATTCTGACTTCCGTCATGGTGAGAGATGAGGACGCTGATGGGTTTTGGAAGATGACGGTATTTAGAAAACACTGGGCCGAGGAAGCTGGAGTGTTCACTTCTTGTGGTTGTGCGAGATTCGGATGCTGAGGGAACTCACTACCCCGCTCGATGTAGCAGACTCCCTTCCAACAAGTGGAACGTCAGGAAAGTGAGTAGTCGAGTCGCAGAGACGGAAGGTGCAAACCGTGCCGCAGACGACCAGTGCCGCTTCTAGGCGCTGCCGACGTCCGTGGAATCTCACACTGGAAAGATTGAGAAAAGTGAGACTTTCAAGCTCAATGACTGAGATGGAATTTTTGATTGCTCATGAGGAACTGAAAAGCCGACTTGGTGGTCTTGCACTGTTACCTCACTTACATACTCGGCTTTTACCTAAGTACCATTGCCCAAGGATATGCACTGTAACCCGTGTGGTTATTGGCCATACTCGCAGATCAATCCATTGCGGTTCTCTTTGCGAACCACAATCCTCTTCCAAATAACGCCCGCCTGAGCGACTGTGCAGCGCAGGCAATAGGTATAGTGACAGCCATGAATTTTGCTCCTGAGGGCGTGTGCTTTCCGCATCTGAAGAGGCCGTGATGGAGCATTCTTCCTCCGTGTCGTCGGCTCTCACGACCCGCCTCTGCCACGGCCGCGTCCACGGCCACCACGACCCATTCCTCGTCCACGGTCGCCTCTGCCACCGTGTCCGCCCCTCTGGTCTTGCCCGGTGCGGGCTGCGCGCGCCGCCTGGTCCTTCGCCTGCTGTTCCTTCACAATGTCGACGATCTCGTCTGCAACGCGCATGTATTTGATCTAGAGTACGTCAGATGGGTGTCCCAGTATCTAGCAGTTGTCCAAACCCACGTTGTTTCCGCGCACGTATACTTCAGCAATCCTGAAGAACTTGTCTCCGTCCGAGCTAGTCTGCACAACCTCCTTTAGGGTCAGGTTCATCCAGGTGTCGCAGCTGACGAGGTGGCCGTTGAGGGTTTCGCCATTCTTCAGCTCCACGAGCATGGCATGGCCTTGGGCGGCGGTCAATAGACCGAGAGGAAGCTTGATACAGGTCAGCGAGGATCTTGCTTGCGGTCTTCGAGGCTGCGAATAGAGTTGGAGGAAGCTGGAGGTGGCATGCCATTTTGCGAGGGCGTCTGCGCCAAGGGCCGTATGTGAAGGAGCTGAGGCGCGTGGATGTCAGATGCGCGGGGATTTGGCGGGTTCGGTAGGGTCTTCAATGTTGATAATCAATGTGACGGAACCTAGAGTCGCGGGGTGGCTTGTTTAGCGCTTGGCATAGATCACGTGATGTGAACAGGCTCGACCAATGGGCGCGATGTCACCAGAGAATCAGGTCGACCCTGGGACCCTGGGAGGCCGCGACAAGGCTGCAGATGTGGAGGCCAATCGGCAGAAGGGCGGTTGCGAGGGGCTCTGGAGACGTGCTTCTCGAAGACGTGCTTCTCGAAGATGTGTTTCTCGAAGATGTGTTTCTCGAAGATGTGCTTCTCGACAAACGAAACGTGGTGTTTCCAGGTCTGCCCATGGTACTCTCAGGGTTCAGCACCACTCACTGCTCCATCACCACCTTTGACAATTTTCAACACAGCATTCGAGATGCAATTGAAGCTGCTCAAAGACTCCCTCAGCTTCGAGGCCCCACTCGTCGCATGGGGGCTGATGCACAGCCTACGTGCCCTGCCGCGTCACTTGCACTGTCTAGGCTTAGACTGTTTCTTGCGTCGACGCCAATAATACGAAGGGTTCCCCGACTTGCTGGTGCCTGAATTCTGATTTCTGGGACAGCTGTTCACTACTTTCGCTCCGGGACTGGAGACTTTTTCTACCAAATCGTCGTGCTTTTGTCATCTTTGCTCTTCTCCTAGTCGTTCCCTTCTTTCCTTTCAACCATGCGGCCCTCTTTGAAGCCGCTGGCTTGGGCGTGGGCGCTCCCGGCTCTCGTCTCTTCCGTCGCCATCCCACCACCGCCGGGTCCACCGGGCCATGGGCACTCTGGCAATGCAGAAGCGACAAATCCTACCATAGAGCTTGGTGCGACCTTGCCCTTATATGTCTGTTCTGTCTAGGCAGCTGCTAATATGTAACATTCAGACTTGCAAGACTCGCAAGCAGCGGCAACATTCAGCATCCCGTGTCCTGGCTGTCTGAGCCAAGACTCTAACGGCCACGATGACGAGTCCCTCGTACGTATACTCTGTGCTTACCTTACACCTCAGGCAGCAGTATCATTGAACTCAAGCTTACCTTCTCTTTACTAGACCATCAACTTCCAGGCCTTCTCATCCGAGACACCCTGTGGCGTCTCCAACATTACGCTTAATGGTCGTTATCTCGCCCAGGAATGGACCGGCGACCACGGCCACGGTGAAGGCTCTTTTGAGGGAGTGTCTGACCTAGAGAAGAATGAATGGTTCCGCACACACGACCTGGACCTATCCTGGGGCTCAACCTGCCTCGACGGTCCCGATTCCAAAGACGCACCTGCTGACGCTGGGATCGCTCAAATTCTCACCGTGTTGATCAAAGCCATTGATGGCAGGCCGATTCCACAGTCTTCTGGCTTCACCATCTCCTTCAAGCAGTTGTCTCCTCCGGAGCTACTCAGGCTTGAACTGTTCCCCGATCCTACCGCGGGCGACCAAAAGTTCTCAGACTCCTGGCGAGAACCGCCGGCACACCTACGTCTATCCGAGGGAGCTGTTGAGGAAACTCAACTGCAATTCCACTCCATTGAGGACGAGATCGCCGAGCTCAAACAACTCCAACTGCAGGCCAAAGACCTTCGGACCCGGATCCGTGAGAAGAAGCAAAGCATTCGAGAACACCTCCGTCACGACGCTGGTAGCCTCAGAGAGGAGTTGAAGCAGTGCGACAACCTCACATGCATAGTTAAGACGATTGCACGAAAGGCACACGGCGCTGTCAAGATCATATATATCCGACTCCGTCCACACCACTCCCCACCACCGATGGGAGGGCCTAACGACGCTTACCACGCCGTTTGGCAGACTCATGGCCTACCGGCGCAGGTCCATGCCGTATGTAACGGGAACTGTTCTCAAACACCGCCGCCTCTACCACCACCTGAGGGTCATCCTCCTGGATCACCACCACCACCTCATCACGGCCCGACCCACCATGGCCATCACCACGGCCCACCTACCCCACCTCACTCTCCCCTACCTCACTCTCCCCTCGTCAAAGCTCTGAGCATCCTCGCCTCCGCCCTTGGCCTGACCGCCCTCCTCGCCTTCCTCCACCGCCGGTGCTGTACCCTCCGCGCCCGAACTGACCGCCGCGCTGCAAGGGAAGAGCGCCGCACCGCACGCCAATACCGCCGAGCTGCCCGCCGCCAGGCATGGGCTAGCTGGTGGTACCGCAATCTCGATCATGGACGCATCGCCGACTACGAGGAGAAGCGAGCGCTCATTAATGAGCAAGAGAGCATCCTCGAGGCCGCTATGCAAGAAGAAATCAGACAATTCCGCGCCGCCCACGGCGTCGTGAACAGTCTGGTGCAAGCGGAGGAAGGGCGTTCAGCCTTGTCGTCGTTTCAACATGAGCAGCTGGAGAGACAGAGGCACATGGGTATGCAGCCGAACCCGCACCCTGCGTTCACGATTGCGGAACTGCCGGTGATGAGTTCGGAACCGCCGAGCCGCACGAGTAGCCTTCCAGATTATCGTTCTGAGCCTGATTACCGGTCTGAGTCCGGCAGCACGGAGCCCCCAGCGTATGAGGATGAAGAGGATAGCAGCGATGTGGTTGTGGATGGCTTTAGGGAGTACACACCGAGCACGACCACCGCGTGGACGCCCGACAGCAGCGTCGTTGATGTGTCGCCCCGCCCAAGTGGGGAGACCATGAGGGTTGAGGAGTATGTGCAAAAAACTTAGGGGAGGGCAGTTGATTCATCAGTTTTGTTTTTGTAATGGCGTGATACCTTTTCACGCGGGAGCGCTCTTAGCCTATTACATCTCTTTCTACTTTGTTCCTCTCCATGGGTTTCTTTTGGGCTTTACAGGACAGGTCTCTTGGGCTCGGGTCGGGTTGGCGCCTGAACATGCTTACGTTTTCATCGACATGATTTCTTTGGCTATGCGACGGGATGGATTTATGAGTTGGTTATGCTCTCCACCCAGGATATTAATAGTGCTTCTGTACAAAAATAAGTAAACAATATTCGACGCGCTTCTTCGCGGCTTTGGATGCTAGAATTATGGTTGTATGCTTGCTCATGAGTCTTGATAAGTATCACGTGAGCCGACAGGCTGTTCAAAGTGTTAGTCGTAGGTCTAGCTAAATTGTTAGAGAAAGAAGCCTCAAGCAGTAGCTAGTTATCGCGATGCTATTGAATCTAATATGTAGTCCATGCACATCTACATAAACTTGCAAGATCTTGAATCGCGAGGAAAAATGCTGTCTCATCAAAATGTCCCCAACCGAATGCGGAAAGGTCAGCCAACACATCAACACCAGCACCATCGTCTCGCACGTTCTAAATTTCTTAGATCATAGCTGCAATTATTTTCGATACTGCTAATTGAGCTCGGATGGTGTAGTTGGTTATCACGTCAGTCGTAGGTTACCCCGGCTCCAAGCCCACAGCTCCACATTGAAAATTTCAATATTAACATCAAAGCAGTAACACTAGTTTCACTGAAGGTCCTGAGTTCAAACCTCAGTCCGAGTACGCCTTTTTTGCTCTTTAGGGAGTTGGGATGAGGTTTGACGGCTTGCTTTTTGGTGTGCTAGGTTTGTGAACCCTAGAATAATTGAAGAATCCGTCGTTGAAAGCGTGAATTGACCGACTTGATGAAGTATGTGTCTTTGAGCGTACCTGTAGTTGGTTTTATGACCTGCCTCACTTATTACAGTGGAGTTGAATTTTGTCCAATGGTCAACGGTATTGATGCTGTGGCCTCCTCCGTCTCTCTCTTTTAAGATTAATCTGGTTTTATTGCGACTCTCAGCTTCTCCCTCTGGCCTTATCATGCAACACCTCGTAAGATAAATCGGAATGTATCTAAGAAGAGAGCTAGTACAGCCTATATTAGCTGCTGGCTCGACATTACAGTAGATGATGCGGCGAGCCATACGTTAACCATGGTCGAGGTTGAGGTTGACCGTGGCTCAGGTCAGAACACCGTGTTAACATTATCTGGTAAGAATTTTCGCTATTTTATTGAACCAGGTGTGGTCACTATTCCCTTTGATCCATCACTACAACATTACTTCTGCCCTCGAATGCCGTCTTCTGTCACTTGTCACCCATACAAGCCACCATGCCTGATGTTCGACGTCCTGCCTCCCAGGCAATCGAGTAAGTCCTCACGATTAAGTAGGCCAACTTTTTGCTAATAATGAGGTAGCCCTACATCTAATATGGTAACCGTGCGAGTCAGTTGGGAAGATCTGTCTCAGGATTTCTTGATTCACGACTCCTTTCTCTGCAAGAGCTCAGACTTCTTCGCCGCTGCTTTACGAGGCGAGTGGCGCGAATCGACTGAGCGTGTAGTCCCACTTCCGGCAGTATTACCAGAGCATTTTAAGCTCTACTACAATTGGATTTATACTGGCAAAATCTACAGCGCACCGGATGGACACATCGAGAAGGCTCTAAAGTTTGAATCAGGTACTTTGTTCAAGAAGGAGATGTCCAGCCTTATTCAGTGCTGGATCCTGGGACACCGCCTTTTGGACATACGATTCACGGACACGGTCATGGACACACTCATTCTTGTCGGCGAAGACTACCCCGGATACATCGACCTCAAGGATGACCTGAAAGCAATATACACGGAGACGATGCCTAGATCTTCGCTCAGATGTTTCGTGACCGAATACATCGTTCACTGTTGCAAGGACAAGACCCTTACAGAGACTTACGGAGACGTGTCCCTACCTGAAGACTTCCTTAAGGACCTTTTGTCCGGGCTTATCGAGTTCCGGCCCTACCGGATTAGGCCGGCTCCTAGCATGCCCCGCTGGCGTGACGACCCTTGCGAATTTCATGAACATACAAGAGAAGGGAAGCCTTGCTGGACAACTACCTGAAGAGACAATATATACTTAAGCATCCGGCTCTTCTTACAATAGTTGGAGGTCGTGATAGTTCGCAGGAGTGGATTCGTAGAAAGAGGAGTTATCGAAGTTCGACTGCACATACATACCACGAGTACATTGAGAAAAGAAGCTTTGCTACAAAGAAACCCTCTGAACCAACCCCGTGCAGCTCAACCCCCGCCGCGTTAGGAGCCGGGGGATATGCGGAGGATTTAGGCTAGGAGGAAATATCGGAAGTACATTCACTCAGCCCCTACATCGGTCTACGAATGCTCATGGCATTTCTGCTTAGTCTTACCCGTATATCGCAATGTCAGTCTTTACTGAAGCTGATACCAAACGCTTTCATCGTTGATAACATCTGTATCATGTGAAGATTCTATATGAGTGCATGCCAGATAGTCTCGCCCGCTCATGCATCACTCCATGAAATAAACCCTTAAATCAAGCCTCCAACTCGCAGCCCCAAAATCCAATCGTAGCCCAGAGATACCGCAAACTCCCAATACCAAACCTGCAAACCAAAGCCTCAACCCCCATATCTCCTCCGCCCCTAATCCACAATCCCCACCCCCCTAAATCGTAACCTCAAC